CCATGATTTGTCACTGCCAACCTCAGGTGACAGGAAGTTGTAAAAAATTCAGTATTACAAGAATTTCGTGTCTGACGCTGTCCCCTGTAATGTTGCTGTACTTCATGACATTGTTATGTAGTGTTTAACTCGGGAGCTGTTCCGCCAGGCTGGTTTGTACGGTGTGTGCTCCTGCCTGGAGCCCTTTGTTGATAGGAAATGTGTTTGGTTCCCCCGTAGTAAAACTCGTAGATTCTTGGCGTTGGGCTCGGAACGGAGCAGTCGGAGCGCTAGACAAGATGGTGCACGATCCTGTTTCCTCTCCCAGCTCGCAAGAGAACACTTTGAACTTATACTGTAAAACCACTTTTAACTAGAGCCATGAAAAAATTATTCAGGAATATGAACTGCTCGGAGAACAAGGTGTGAAATTTATGATGAAGCTCTTGATATTTTCCCCATGTTTTATGGTGCCAATGCAAACATAAATGCAGCTTCTAATGGCTGAATCTTCTGCCCTGGACCAGAGTTAAGAAAGGTGGCAGCTTTATTTTGTCCTTTTTTAATTGAAAAAGCCCTGATTTTTGGTGTTCCCCTCACCTCTCAGGTTAACATGAATTACATTAAAACACTGTTCCAACTACTGCGTTCTTCTGGGTAGCTATATATGCTCTTCTACAAAAGACTTCTGCCTATATTCAACTACTAAAATTATTTTATCCGCTAAAAAACATTAGAAGGTGTAAAAAGCAACTCAAAATCAGAGTTGCTTGTGGTTTTTCCTTGGATTTTATTCTGAACAGACCTTGTAAATTTTCAGGTTTTGTTCTGTTGCACTGCAGACAAATGGATTTCACATCAGTTTGAAACAGAAGCTGAACAAATAATGTCCATGTGACCTGTTTCTCTACTTACTATTTCTGTAGTTACTTTAATTATTTTTGCCTTTAACTTGGGTTTTATGAGGTTTTTGGTATGCCGTCACAGTTGGTGGATAAAAATGTAATTCAGTGTATTTGTAGGTTTCTGTTGTGATTAATTTTTGTTTTCTTCTCAAAGAAAAATGCTCATGATTTTGCCTTTCAGGCTTTAGCCCTGTATTGGCTCTATGCAAGCAGTAAACCAGGTTATTTACAGGTGTCTTGTGTGTTCCTTTAATGGATACAGCCCAGCGTGGAACGATGCAGATGCTGGGAGGGAGCAATATTCTCTTGTTGGTGTCAGGAGGGAGGCAGTGGTGGTGTGTGGGGTTATTACACACACAAGCCCGTTCCTCTCTGTGCCGGCTGAGGATGTTCTGTGTTTGAATGGTGGGACAGGGGTTCCTGGGAAGTGCAAAGATGCTTCCCGCAGCCACATCTCTACCAGGGGTTGGAATGCAGTTCGTATGAAAGCCTAGACTTTGTGGAGGCTGATGCTATTTTAGAAAAGGCTTTTACCTGTCACACGCACGAGAACTTACCAGGCTTCTCCTTGAGTCCTGACTGAAACACAAGCAGAGATGTCTCATCACCCAGGTTCTGTAGTTAGTGGGGAAACCAGCGGGATCAGGCATTGGTAGTGATGTCTGGGGAGGGAGAGGAGACAGGCAATTGCTGGTGAGGGAATAGCTCTGAGTGCTGTCTTTGGGGGTCGGGAGGAGTTTTGGGCAGGAGTACTTCCACTGATGGTGTACGGCTTTTCTGGCTGCAGCCACATTTAACCTGTGAGCAACGTCCGGGGTTTGGGTGGGAATCCTCAGCTTTCGGGTCCAGGCAGTGCGGAACGAAGGTTGTTCCCATTTCCCATGGCCACTTTTCGGGAGAGGGGAGCCCTCCTACGGGTATTAGCTGTCCAGAAATTGTTGGTGACCAGCGTGCAGAGCTCATCTTTGAATCTGAGGTGAGTAAAAGTTGTGTGTAGAAGATAAGGAAAACAACCCTGTGGTCAGAGCTGGCAGGTCAGTTCTGGCTTTCCCCCCTGTCTCCCCTGGACTGGGAAAGCTTACTCCTCTGGACTGGGGGAGTTTCAGTCTGAGGCTAGAAAAAAAATACTTGGGGAAAAAGAGCTCAAATATTTATTTTTAATCTTTCACTGAAGTATCTGATCAAGGATGGGTTATTGAGTTAGAAACATCAAATCTGGTACTTCATGGGGAGAGGCAAATTTTCATTTAAAAGCCTTTGTTACAGCATCAGATGTTCATTAGTTTTGTGAATCTACATAAGGTAGCTTTTCATTGGGAGAAGTTATTCTGTGTTTTAGAAGCAAGATCACCTTGTGTCTCATGATGTCCTCATGAAAGGCAGCTTGGATACCAAGCAGACTTCATCAAAGCCTTGCAGATCTCAATTTTTCCCTTTCCCCTTACCCCAAGGGGTAAGACTTCCTAGAAAATTTGTTGCATTTGTTTTCCATTGGTTTTCACCACTATATTTTAGCAAGACAGATCTCTCCTAAATAAATTTCTGTCTCCCTTATTAGCTAGTGTTAAAATTGAGATATTTTAAATGGGTTGGATTGCATTCCAGCACGTACAGTTGCAGTGTAAGGTATTTGTTGCCCGATGACTGCGGGATTAAAGGTTAGAGGGTGCTCTGGCTTCTGTATTGCACACTTAAAACAATAATAGACTCTTAGAGCTCGGCTTCTAGAAATAGCCCTTAAAAGTGCAGGAGGCTTGGAACCTGTTCCTGCTTGAAGTGTGGGTTTTTAATGGGATGAAAGGAGAGCTATAATAGGATAATAAAAACTCAGCAGTAATTTCATCTCTTGCTGCCCCGTAGTAGGCCTTCAAAAGAGTTGTCCAGTCACTGAGGACGAGGAATGTCTCGTCCACGCCGACAAGCTCCTGCGGAAACATTAATCACATATAGAGAAAGCGCTTTGGCACCTCTGCACTAAAAATAAACTCCTTTTTGACCAGCGAAAATATAGTTATTCCAGAGAAAGATTATCGATGAGCAGTGTGATTTATTGCATCTTAATATGTGGATGAATGCTGTACTGATTAGTGCATTGACTCTTGTCAAGTGCAGTGTTCTTTTTAAGAAGGTTTTGTCTTGTTACTATCACCTGGGGAGCCCCGAGCACAGGAAGATCTCCTGTGCATAGACAGGATTGATGGTTCACCATAAAAGTTATTTAAGCTGCAATTTTTTTTTAATCTAATAAATTGCATTCTCCTTTCATGTGACGACACACGAACCCTTTGGTGGTGTTGGGCATCCGTGGTGAAGCCTTCGTAAACCTGTTCCTTGAGTTTTTATGCCTTGCCTTCAGAGCCTGCCCGTGCAGGGCAGAACAAAGCAGCTCCAGGTGCACAGAATAGTCACTCTTAAATGGTCCCTGCCTACTTATGTGTACAAGTGAAAAAAAACCCAACAAACCAGCACATAAACAAACAAACAAACAAAACCCTAATGATTAAAGGTACCAACTTTGTCCAAAAAAAAAAAAAAAATGGCCAAAAAGTGCCCAGTGGTGCCCCATGGTCTGTGGTGGTGCCGTGGTGAGGCTGTGTGGAGCTGGTCATCGATACAGCAAATCAGCTTGGGGTTGTTTCATCCTCCTTTGGGATTTCATTCATTGCTTTCCTTTGATACATCTGCAACTGAAAATCCATTAGCTGTTTCTGGAAGCCGTTGCACCTGGCTTTGGCAGCAGAAGGGCTCTCTCTGGGAGTCTGAGCTCAGCGCTGCACGGTGCTGGGCTCTGCTCTGAAGCACCTTGTCACCAGCGGGTCTGCAAAGGACCTGGCCTTTACCTGGAGCCACGGCTGGAAACCTGAGTCTCAGAAACGTGTTTGTAGCAAAGGGTCCAATGTGAGAATCCCATTCAAGAGCCTGAAATAAAGCAGCAACACATTGTAGCTTTACAAGTCCTATAGCATGGCTGAGATTGCTGGGTTTAAGTCTGCTGTGTGTGCTCAAATTGCAGCTTCAGCCACGTGGTGTAGATAGGGGGCTGGTTTGGGGGGATTTGGGATTTTTTTAAGTGGTATTGGTCTTTTTAGTGTATTATATGGGTATCAGTTTAAGCCAAATGTGATGCTCTTGTATTATTTTTTTTTTAAGGTGTAGCTCTGGAGCTGTTAACTACTCTTATGAATAATAGTGTTCACGTTCACTGTCGTCAAGCAGCAGAAAACTGATTTTGACTTTAAGGCAGATGAATTTGTGTTCTGAAGCGTTAGTTCTTTTTTTTTTCTAATGATAATGTGATTGGACACTAATTATCCTTTGGAATGAAGAGCTTGAGCTCATACTGCCCCTAAACCATTTATTCTTTGGCTGGGGATAGTTTGTCATGTCTAGAGATTATTTTTTTTTTGCCTTTTTTCTCCCATAATCCTTGAGAAGGGGCCACACACTTGGAAATGACAATAATGGACAGAATATACAAGTTTTGGTTAGAATGCAAGGTAAACTACAAATGGAATATTTGCGCCACGTAAGAAATCCAAATCTGAAGTAAAAGTCAGAACTTTATCTACCAATTTGTAACATTAGGACCCTTTGTGCTTTGAATATCTTGAGTGAACTTTAGAACAGAATTTGGATTTAGTGCAAGAGCCGTATGATTGCAGTTAGTTTCGTGTAAGTAATACCCTTGAAACCCTGGGTGTGCTTCTCCTCATCAGAAATACCCCTGGCAGTCCCTCTCTGTGGATCAAGCCCTGGCAGCAGGGTCTCCGTTGGGTTTTGCAGGGGAGCAGGGATGTCTGTTGGTCCAGGCAGGAGGCCTGGAATTCCAGAGCCCTCACCTCGGCTCCTCGCTCCCCCACCTGCCTCCGGCAAAATTACTTACTATTTTATTATTTTTTTTTTTAGCTTCAGTTGCTGCACCTGTGAAATGGAGACAATGCCTCCTCACAGGAATGTTTTGCAAATTATGTAGGTGGAGTTGAGCACCTTCAAAGTGGAAGATCTTTTTTTAAAAAAATAATTAAATATATCTTAAAAGATATTTCTGTGTGTAGCTCCCTGAAATGGGTGGCCCAGCCTAGTTCCTTGCTGCCATCAAGAGGCACATCAGGAGATGCTGGTCCTGGCAGCCTGGTCTCGCCCTGATCCTGTGCTGGCTGGGGTTTCTGTTGGCTCGTCAGCGGCACTAATGAACACTGGCACTAACGAACACCGGCCTCTCGCCCAGGGATGGTGAGCTGTTCAATGGCCCGTTTCATCTAACAAATATTCTGATAGCTATGGGCTTTATTTAGCCATCTCAGTTGCCCTTTTTTGGTAGGTGTAGCATTCTTCTGTTAAAAGGAGGAGAATTTCTTTTCCTTTTAAAAAAACAAAAATTGGTTTAAATCAAAAGGTGTCCCATCTTACAGCTGTGTATGGATTTTCTTCAGCGCTCTCTCCAAGTATGCAATAAGAATATCTGGTTTTTTATTTCTGTGATTGCTTTGCCAGCATGAATTTTGTGATGGTTTAACTCAGTTTTGTTTACAATGTAAAGTAACTAGAATGAAGGTGAGTTTCAATAAAAAAAAAAAAAAAAAGAGGAAATAAGTGTCGGTTTGAGTCTAACAGCCCCAGCAGTTAGAGAAAGTTGAATTGCTTGGGAAAATTATAAAAGGTACTGATTTAAAAATACTAGCAATACTGATGATATTATTTTTATTTTTTTTTTTGTCCAGTAAAACATTTCTAGTTTTGTCTCTTTTCACTAGAACAAGTTGAAATCATCACAGAAGGATAAAGTGCGTCAGTTTATGGTCTTCACACAATCTAGTGAAAAGACAGCGGTGAGTTGTCTCTCTCAGAATGACTGGAAGTTAGACGTTGCAACAGACAACTTTTTCCAAAATCCTGAACTTTATATACGAGAGAGTGTTAAAGGATCGTTGGACAGAAAGAAGTTAGAACAACTATATAACAGATACAAAGGTGAGTACCCTGAATTTTCACCTTATTTCCTCATTGTGTGTGCGTGTTCTTAATTACAGTGTGTGATTGCAGCTGTGCTCCTGGGCTTGGACACCTTAACTGGCTCTTCTACTAACAATACAAGTTAGAGGGGGAGTATACATAGACTTCTGCTGCACAAAGATTGCATGTGGTCACTTTATGTGCCCTAAATATAGGTACCTTTATCCAAAATTAGGGTCTGGAACTGGAATTGTGTGTGCAGTGAGTAACTGTAATGGCACCATGGATTTTAGGGGGTTCTCCTGGGTAAGGCACTCAGGGCTCACCCTGACAAGGTGAAAGGCTGCATACCAGGGATGGATTCCACCTTAGCTTTTATTCACCTTGTGCTTATTATCAGATAGATAGAAGCAGAGCGGAACAGAAAACAAAGCCTGTTTCCCTGTTTCAGAGCCAGTGTTCAGCTGGTGGTGCCCTGCCCCACAGATAAGGTGGGTTCAGGGCAGCACAACAAATGCTGGGGTTTAGCACTTCGGGGAAAAAAATCTGAAACCCAGTGTTACATTTTCTGTCAGTTTTCATATGCCCTCATAATCCAAATCCCACTTTCCTGGAGTCTTGCTGGCTTGCCTCAGTAGATCTTTGTTAGTGCATCTCACTTCCAGAGAGATTCCTGGAAAGAGGAGGGTGCTGGGCTGACGTGGGATCAGGGAGGGGGCAACATAACTTTCCTCCTGGAGGTCCGTGCACGCTGGTGATGGCAGAAAATGCATAAAACTAGTGCCAACTTGATAGTTCCTGGGCAGATTTGATTATTGTATCAGAACAGCTTGCAAGGACACTGCAGGATTGTTGACAGTGTACACAGACAGCAGCCTCACCAAAGGTGCCAGGAATGAAGTGTGCTGGTGGGAAAGGATGGAAAAGAGGCAGAATGTCGTGCCTATTATTAAGCAGAAAACAAATGTTTGTGGTGCTTTTGCCTCTCAATGAAAATAACATCAGGTTCATTGTATGGGAGGCTTTATTGTAGTAACTTCCTCAATTGTTAAAGCTTAGCTATTGAAAACACTAATTTAATTTTGTTTTTAAAATATTCACTTATAAGGGCCGATGCCAAAAATGGCTTCTTGAAAATCTTCTTAAATACTCGTGAATAAATTTTTCAACAATCTGTTTTTCTTGATACTTACTTTTATATCCCAAAGATCCTCAAGATGAAAATAAAATTGGTATAGATGGTATACAGCAGTTCTGTGACGATCTAGCTCTCGACCCAGCCAGCATTACTGTCCTCATTATCGCATGGAAATTCCGAGCTGCAACACAGTGTGAATTTTCCAAGCTGGAATTCATGGATGGAATGAGTGAGCTGGGGTAAGTGTGCAGTGAGTGTGAAGCACTGATGGTGGAACCCAGTGTCAGAAACTGGGACAGATGGTGAAACAGCCCTGTTTTGGGGAATTCACGGTCCCATTGTCCTTTCAGACTCCATAGCCTTTCTGGGTTTGGCATCACGTGCCTGCCCCTGTGCAGGTGTCTCTGCTCTCTCTGTGCTGGGAGCTCAGTCTCCAAAAAAAGCAGCTTTTGGTGCTCCTTGCCTGGGCTGTGTGAGTGTTTGAGTGAGGTGCCACAGAGCTGCTCAGGTGGGCAGAGCAGGGTGTTGCTCTGCAGTCTGCACACCTTAGGAGAGTGCAGTGTTTATCACAGTTTTATAAAGATCTTGTGGATGACAGCATCTGATGTATCAGCTGGTATGTACAAATGGCAACGGGAAGAAATACAAGTCTCGTTTATTTGTTGTTATAGATGCAGACTAATGAAAGGCTTCCTGAATTTTGTTTTGGTAATCGTATTGTGTTCTGCAAAATACTTACAATTTTTTGTTTGTTATAACTCATATTTTATGGCAAAATGAATAATAGAAATATAAACATGCTTTTTAAAATGCAGATGTGACAGCATAGAAAAACTGAAGGCCCAGATTCCTAAAATGGAACAAGAGTTAAAAGAGCCAGGAAGATTTAAGGATTTTTATCAGTTTACTTTCAACTTCGCAAAGAACCCGGGACAGAAAGGTTTAGGTATGTATGCTCTAGTGTAAACATTTGTTTGGAAATATGAGAAATGACTGATTAAAGCAGGAAGTGAAAATATTGTCATGCAATGAGTCTGAAAGATAGCCACCCTTGGATTACAACATATATCTCTTTTTTTTAAAGATAGGTGTCAATTTAAGGTGTTCAGATAAAAATAGCTGCACCCTCAGTATAGACCACAAAATTGTATGAGGGGGCTTTATTCTGTCCCTGAGTGTGTGCAGTTCTCAGGAATAATCAGTGGATTATGGTCTTGCATGAAAAGGTAATTATACCACTCAGAATTTGCAGCACTGAACAGATTGATTGAAGTTTTACGGGGGGGCTTTATTCTGTCACTGGGAGTGTGTGCAGTTCTCAGGAATACTCAGTAGATGGTCTTACATGAAAAGGTAATTATACCACTCAGAATTTGCAGCACTGAACAGATTGATTGAATTTTTACTTTTAGGATAAATTTAAATGATTTCCATGTTAAGTACACTTGTACAGTCTCTTGGAACACCAAAAATGCTCACAAATGTCTTGTCAAAATAGAATTGGAATAGCACAAACAGGTTTCCCTGTCCTGGGCTTGGTGCCTGTTGTTGTTGTATCGTTGGTAATCGCTGCCTCCCTACAGCCTTGGGTTTTTCCCTCAGCTCACTGAATATTTTTTTTTCATTATTTCAGAGTTGTTCTGCTGGTTGTGCTTTTGATTAATGTAACAGGTGAAGTGGAAGAGTCACTTATTGAAAACATTTTTATTTTTTTTTTTTAGAAAATAAAACTAACACCAAACCCATGACAAAACTCTCTGTCATTCTTTAACGTTTCTGTAGCCTGAGTTTGGGTTTCAGGTGGGTTGTGAGTTCCCTTGTCTCTGGAGAAGCTAAAAGAGCACTGCTGAGCTATTTCGAAGTACTTGGGCATGCACATAGGTCTGAATCCTCCAAATAAATGAGTGGCTGATTCTTATTTCTTGCAGAAAGACATGTAAAGGTTTTGCAGGCTGCTACAAGAGGGAAAATGTGGGCAGTGATTGAATTGAGAGAGGGCAGAAGTGAGGCCATGGAGGGTGTCCGCAGTGGGAACTGTTGCAGGGGTTTGTTGTTTGGGTTTTTATGGTTACCTTTGTAACATTTGTATGTTGTTTTTAATCTTTAAACAGCTTTACACAACAAGGGGTATTTTGCAGAATCCCTGTAAGATGGTGAAAGTGAAATGACAATCACAATAATAGCATAATTACACGATCATTTTTAATTCTGTTTTCTCAAAGCTTCGAAATACCAGAACGATTTGATGTAGTACTTGCCTCTTATTTTCTTCTCCATGTATCTAAGGTATAAAGAAGACTTGCATTCTTTTTCTGATTTCCCCCCAGTCCTATAAGGAAATGAATTTTTTCAGTATCCCAGGTGGAATAGACTTCAATAAAAATTATTTACCAGGAGAACTAACCCCTTGCTTTATTTCTCATTCATCTTGAAGCTTCTTTATGCGGGTTAAGCTCTAACAGTGGCAAAGGCAAGTGCAGTTTCCTCAGATTCATATAGCACATACACAGTCCAAGATTTTTTGTTGTTGTTGTTGTTATTTACTTATTCGTGTGGGTCTGGAAGTGATGTAGAATTAAGCTTAAAACCTGGCTGAGTTTACAATAGGGCAGAATAATTCTGGAAACCCTGAAGCAAAAGACTGTTGGGAGAAGTACGGTGCTGAAAAGTGAGCGCTCCTCGTTAGGCAATTAATTTTGGAGTGCCTAAATAACTGCTTGTAGGAACTTGCAAATTGATTTTAATGTGTATTGGTCTCTAATCTCCCAAACATTGTGTAGTAGCTCTGCCCGATCCCTTGCTATGGTGTAAGTTCTGCGGGTGTTTGAGAAGCTCGAGATGTTTGCATGTGATTTGGGAACACCTTTTAGCTGATGTTCATCTCAGACACCTTGTGCTCCTCTTGCATCTCTCTGGATAAAACTCAAAATGGAGCATAGATTTGGAGACTTTCATATTTGATCCATGAGGACTTCCCTGAGCATTCTTTCACTTTCTTAGGAAAACCTAAAATTACATCTTTACTTTTGAATTTTATGAGTGATACTTTGCGCTCTTTGAGCTGGGTGTGAAAACGACAGCTTTTATTTTCTGAGGAGAAGGGACTTGTGTTTAGTGACTCCTGTTTAATTGGTCTCTGCTTCTCCAAACTCAATCTTACACTTTCGTCTGGAATCACACCCCCTTGCAGCTGCTGGAAAATCCTCCATAATTCTGTTCTTTAGTTTTAGTCAGGAAGGATTATAATGTGAATGTGCTGTTGGAGAAGAACTTTTAATATCAAAGATCCTGAACAGCTCATAAACTTGCCCCCATCACCATCTATTTTCCCTCCAGCAGTGCAGAGTTCGTGCTGTGATTTGTTTGCTGCTGATGTCACCTCTAAGATCCACCTCCCTGTGCTTTTTTAACTAGTTTGGGGGGAAGGGGACTGCTTTTCTTGGCTGGCATCAGAGTTTTTTTCTGTTTCTTTTTTTCTGAGGTGCAGGTGATCAGGTGCCTCTTCCTCACAAGAGGGTTGGTGATGGAAGAAGAGATTTGCTCAAAGGCTGCAAAACGTATAAGAGCTTTTGTTTAAAAAGAGGTCACTTAACTGGGCAGCCTGTTGGGGCTGCTGTGTGCACGGTGACGGGCATGGAATTTGGTAGGGTCACAGTTGGCAGCTTTTTGTTATAATTCCAGAGGCCCGTGCTCCTTCCTGGTGGGGGAAATCTTACCAGGTAGAGAGTGAGAACTCGGACATCTCTCTTTCTTTTACCAGTTACCACTAATAATCAGTAAACACGTGTCAGTGTAGCCCTTGGCAGGTCCCAGGAGGTGAGGAGTTGGGTTTTTTTTACGTGCTGGACTCACCATCTCTTTTCCTACAGCAGCCCCAGGGTGGGGCAGTGGGGTGTCCTGCTCCCTCAGCCCCGGCAGTGCAGGGCTCTCACCCCTGAGAAACACAGGCCAACCTGGCAAGAACTTAACAGGAGTCTTTGGAAACAACAACAACAGAACACTCCAACAAAAAACCCACCCAAAACCTCAACCCAACCAGAAAACCCTCAACAATTGACAAACCAACCATTGACCATCTGCTGGTAGGGCACTGAAAGGTCCTGTCAGAAGGAAACCTGATCACAGCCCTGAGCCCTTGGCAACAGCCGTGTCACAGGGCCAGGGCCTCTAACAGAGTTGCTTTGAAAATGAAATCATAAAAAACTAGTTTTATGTAAATTGTATTTTAGGTATTAAAAAGGTTAAAAAGATCTTACTGCAAAATAATTAAAATTTTTCAAGTCAGTAGCATTTCTAAGACGAAGTATTTCACTGAATTCTAACTAAAGTATATTATATGGCAAAAAGTATATGAAATACACTTCTGTGGTTTGGATATTTTAGTTATATTAATATGGGCAATTTTCCATTCTTCTATATTCAAGTTATAATACCAAAATCTGTAAAATATTTGTGTAACACTTTATTTATGGCTGCCTTTTTGTAAAGGATCCATGAGTATGTTTACATCAGATTAATCTTTTCACCTTTATGAGTATATTTTAGTGCTAGGTACCTGTGGAGATGATTTGAAATGTCTGTCTCTAAAAGTAACCTATTTTAATATTACAGATTTAGAAATGGCCATTGCCTACTGGAATTTAGTACTTAATGGAAGATTTAAATTTCTAGACTTGTGGAACAAATTTTTGTTGGTAAGTTTAAATCTTTACATAAACTGGACTGCAGTATTTTCAAAACTTGGAAGATGAGTATGTTTAAATTATTGAGTAGATGCAATTGACTGTTTTGGGCCAGGCCCCAGGTACTGCACTTCACAGGGGGGACAAGAGCAGTAGGTTTGGGGGGTACGGTGTGTCCGAGATAGTAAAACTGAGTACATATAAGTGGGGGTTTTTAACTTCTTTTTTTTTGAACATCAATTTTCCAGGAACATCATAAAAGATCAATTCCTAAGGATACCTGGAACCTCCTCCTAGACTTTAGTACAATGATAGCAGACGATATGTCGAACTATGATGAGGAAGGTAAACATTTCCATTTTCTTTCCTTAACTTGTGTGTTCCATGGTCCATTTATTGCTGGGTATCTGCTTTGGCACAGCTGTCTAATAACAGCCTAATTCCAGTGTCACTGGGGGCTAAAGTTCACTTAGAGCTCCTTTAATGCCTGCTGTTATCAGCTGTTCCTTACTGCAGGGTTAAAAAAGAAGTACTGAAACTTCCTTAAATTTTCTTTTTTTTTCTTCTGAGTGAGCTCAGATACTAATTCTTTCTTAGAGACAACCCCGATATTTGTCAGTTTAATAAACACAGCTCCTCTGTCAGCACAGCTCTTGGTGTCTGCACCCAAGGAGCTGATTCCTGGCCTGGGCATTTCTTCCTGGGCATTTCTTCCTCCTGTTCCTGCATTTCCTGGCTGAGAAGAGTTTTGAAGTTGGGCTTCTCCAGTTTATGGGACGTGTAGGAATATTAAAGTGAAGCTGGCAGCAGCTCCAGGAACTTCCAGAGCAGAGGGCAGCAAACTTCTGCAACTTCATTTAATAATTACAGACAGTTCTTCCCTTATCACTGAGCAAATGGGCCGCTGCCCACAGTAAATCAATGCAGTTTAGAAAGATGAAAGGCAGAAAACATGCTTTAATGATTTGGAATAAAGATATTTTAAAGGGAGGGGAAAAAAATCCAAACCAGCCCACAGTTATTTTTTAATCTTGATGTGACCATCGTGCACGTGACCCGGGGCCTCTTTCGATGTGGCTGCCCATAATATGTGAAATAATGATGTGTTTTAACTACCTCCTGATAAGGAATAAGGAAGAGTTAGGTAGTGTAAGGGCAGCCTTCGGGGTGGTTGTGTGATGCTGCTGCAGTTATTGCAAGTCAATATCTTGTTAGGGTTGCAGAAGAACGCCTTGCTGAAGTGAGGTCTTATGATCTGGTCTTCTTTTTTTTCCTTCAGGGGCATGGCCAGTTCTTATTGATGACTTTGTGGAATTTGCACGCCCTCAAATTGCTGGGACAAAAAGTACGACGGTGTAGCACTAACGGACCCTTCTAGAGTGTACATAGTCTGTACAAATACCTGACATGGAGAATTGCACAGTCAATTTCTGCTGGCTGGACTGAACTGAAGCTCAATCCTCACGGTATGGCTGAGGGTTGGGACAAACCTCTAAGGATACATCTTGGACCATATCATAATTCATTCTTCTACTGGTGGTTTGGGCTTTTCTTCTAGTCTGGACCGCTCTTGCCAGTTAAAATTCCAACGTTGTGGATTTCATCATGGATTTTTTAAATAATTTTTTTTTTTTTTTTTTTTTTTGGTGGACCACCCCAGTTTCATCTCCCATGAGCCCGAGAAGCTTTATAATTATTTTGAGGTTTCTGGTTTCACATAAAGCACAATGCTGGTCATCATCAGCCAACCATTGTACGGCATCTGAATGATACAGATCAACATCAAAACAGTTTTTAAAAGAATCCTTAAATATACACTTGGGGCTAGTTGCAAAGACTGCATCGATAGCACTTCCTGTGAGAGTGATATATTTAAGTGTACCGGGTCCGATAGTTTTTTTTCTTTTCTTTTCTTTTCTGGAAAAGTTACAGGTATCGTATAAGTGAGTTTGAGTATCTGGTAAAAACCATCGCAGAAATAACCAGGAAAAGGTGAGGTTTGGTTGATGCTGGGGTGCCTGGGTGCCCTCTGAAGGGCTTGGGGATGCTGTGGTGGCCTCGGGAGCAGCTGGAGGTGGGGACAGCCCCGGGCTCGGGGTCCTGCTGGGCTCCGGGGAGCGGCACCGAGACGGCGGAACCCAATATCCCCCAGGTTATCATCTGAGAAACCAGATTTCATTACAGTTCTGAAATGCTTCTCTGTCTGTCCAAGAAAGGTTTTTCATTTCTGTGGAAATCTAAAACTTGAAGTTTTGAATTGGTGTCTTAAATGTTTGCTACACAATACAGTATTTTAAATGGAGACGTGGAATTCCTGCGGCCGAGGTCTGGCGGAACAAACAGCCCTGCTGTGCACCACGCTGCTGAGGGTGATGTGAGTCTGGGTTTTGAAACCATTATCCTGAGAAGTAAGTTAAGCCTTTATAACGTATAGGTACTGCCATTATGGATGACACCTGCTTTTTAATTACTTTGTTGAGATTTCCTTAAATTGACATATCACTGTGGTTGCCAAATACAGAAATTAAGAGTAAAGCTTTCCCAAACAAGCACAGACCAGATCTAAAATACCGCCCTGGCTTCCTTTGCTTAAACCCCTCTGCTCGGCTCCGGGGACACCTCCTGGAGCAGCACGTCCAGCTCTGGGGCCACCAGCAGCAGAAGGACAGGGACCTGTTGGAGCCAGTCCAGAGGAGGTCCTGGAGACACTGGGAGGGCTGGAGCCCCTCTGCTGGGAGGGGGGGGCTGAGAGAGTTGGGGGGGTTCAGCCTGGAGAAGAGAAGGCTCCAGGGAGACCTTCAAGCCCCTTCCAGTCCCTCAAGGGGCTCCAGGAGAGATGGGGAGGGACTCTGGATCAGGGCGGAGGGGGAAGGGTTTGACCCTGCAAGAGGGGAGATGGAGCTGAGCTGTGGGGAAGAACTTGTTTGGTGTGAGGGTGGTGAGAGCCTGGCCCAGGTTGGCCAGAGAAGCTGTGGCTGCCCCATCCCTGGAGGGGTTCAAGGGCAGGTTGGAGGGGGCTTGGAGCAACCTGGGCTGGTGGGAGGTGTCCCTGCCCAGAGGAGGGGACTTTAAGGTCCCTTCCACCCCAAACCAGTCTGTGATTCTATGAAATGATTTTGTTGATCCATCACTACTTACTATCTTACTACACTTCACTAAATGGTTTTGTTCAAAACAGGTTCTATCAATTATTCTTTGAATATTCCCAGAGCTCTCGAGCTGCTTTTGTGCTACACGTGGTCTGTCACTCCTCACCTGTTACTTGGGGGGAGATTTGATAAATGCTCCTCAGTGAAACAAGCTGGAAAATACCAGGCTCCGGGGAAAAAAGGGGATAGTTAGGGATCAGGAGAGGGGTTTGGGTCCCTGCTCTGACCAGCCCCGTGAGTCACTGGCACTTGCACTCAACAGCACAACACTTTCATGCAGATGCTAGAGGGTATTTTAGGGAAAAAAAAAAAAAAAGAAGACTATTAAACTGCTAAAAGGTGATATTTGTTCACCCTGTACCCCCCCAGCAGCTCGGTGAAGGGAAGCCCAGGGTGTGTTTGCCCCCAAACCCCCCCTAGACCCTCCAGCCCCGCGACCGGCCGTACCAAACCCCGGCTCTCCCTGCTTTTAGTGTTTCCTTTCAATTCCCTGCAAACACCAAGGGGGGGCCAAGGATGCTGTGAGGGGCTCCATGCGTCCTGGGGGGGTCCAGGGCCGTTCCTGGGGGTCGGGTTTTATCCCAGGCCAGAGCTGACCCCCCCAAAAGGCAGCGGGTGGGCGGCAGTGTCACCCCGGGGAGGGGGGGATTTAAAGGTGTTTCCTTTCCAATGCAAGATCTTGTCAACGAAATAGTGTTGTCCTCAGTTTGGTACTACACGCTTATAATTACTGTGTAATTATAAAGAAATAGATAAAACTTGGACTAATTCTGTTGCCGAGAAGGGTCCTTTGTGCTGTGACGGCACCGTGAGAGCTCTTCCCAGGGAGTGACTGAGGTTTCACGGGGTCTTGTTCCAAGGACAAAGCCTGGGGATTCCAGGGAATGTTCAGCCGTGGGGGCTGTGGCCATGGGGGTTTTCCTTTAGAGAGTTGTGTGGGTTTTCTTTTTTATTTTATTTTATTTTTTTTTTTAAGAATGCAGCCAGTTGCTTACTTGGATTGCTTTAATTCGTAAGTGCTTCTGTCTTCAATTTGATGATCTCCCCTTAAATGGATCAGTTTAATTTTGCCAAATGTCAAGAGAAAAAAAAAAAAAAAGAGGTGGCGAACATCAACTTTGTAACCTGTTTTTATACATTAAACGTGTACAAAATTAGAAGTGCCCTGATATAAAACACTTAATCTTGAGGTTATATTTAGTAAAAAAACCCATCATTTACATATCTCTGTAAGTTCAAATGTAACTTCTTACAATCCCTCATCACCACCAGAGGCAATAAAGCTCCAGTGAAATTGCTGTGCCTGCCTCCTCCCTGCCTCCCGTCCGCTGGTGTTTAAAAGAAAAGAAAGGGTGGAATACTGGCTTTTGGCATAAAATCCCTGTTTTCGGTAAGTCTTTTGGTGGAGGGGGTTTGGGAACTGTCGCATCCCTGCGGGGAGACACCGCACCAGACCCTGCCCCACGGTGGCTCCTTTTATTGGTCACCCCCTTCGTTACCAACTGGTGCCCGACTGTGGAACTGTCTCCCAGGGACACCCAGAGACCCTCACTTTTAAGAAAGAATTTTTTAAGTCTGCATTTAATAAACTGTTGTCGTTCATGCTTTATTTAAACGATGGTATTTGAGCGCGACGGCGTCGGGTTTGTGGGGCTGCTCTCTGGGCTCTGGGAGAGATGGGGTGAAATGAGCATCTTCTCTGTCAGAAAGGGGCTGTTTCGGCCCCGAAGTCCCTCCGGGAGAGAACAGTGAGAGCTTTGCTCCCACCAGCAAACAGCCACCAGTCACCCAACACCCCCCCGAGACATTTAAACTGGGAGCCTCTTCCACTACCTCTCCTCCAGGTTCTCAGTTGGACACAAGCTGCTCAACTGTCACTTGAATGTTTTTCTACAGGAGATTAACAACTGTGTCTAAACCCAATTCTGTGTCTTCAGAGTATGAAATACCAAACCTCCTCCATGAAGGGGTGAGGGGAGGCCGGGCAGGAGACAGCGTGATGTCCTGTAACTCCAGTCAGGACCAGGTGCTGCCCAGGAACCCTGGGAGATGCTGGAGCCCCAGCTCCTGTCCATAAAGAATCCATAAATGGTGGAGTTCTTGGCTCAGCAAACCCCATGGTGGGTTCCTGGGGGAACTGGAGCTACTGGGCCACCCAACAGACGGAGCCCAGGGACCCCCCTTCCCTTACACCCCCCCGGTGTCTGGCTGTAGCTCCGTGTGTGTGTAAAGGCCTTTGGGGTTTTTGTCCCATCACTGGGGGTTTCTCTCCAGCAGAGCGGGCACCAGCAGCTCCCCAGGCTCAGGGCAGTGTCTCCTGGGGCGGAGGTGCCGTCTGTCTGCGCCTGCTGGGACCAACAGTTACGTAATTAAAACAACCACTCAGCAAGAAGTGAAAGTTTTATTTAATAAATATAATTTCCATAAACCGTTTCCAGAACAGCCCCCTCTGCCCAGGCTCTACCCCACAAACACCCCCCTCCCTGCCCGGGACCCCAAACAGCCCCAGGCGGCCACAGTGTCGGGTCCAGAACGCTTTGTACTAATTATTGCTACAGTTCCCAGGGGTCAATGCCCCTTACGAGCCAGAAATTAAGGACCAGTATCTTTAAAAAGATACTTCTTGCAGAGAAGATCTCAGTCACACTTTTCTCTTAATGAAATAAAAAAAAATAAAAAAAACAAACAAAAAAACCACAGGAGGCGATGGTTTGTTATTCTTGTGTGTTGGTCCCAAAACTTCTCCTGGGACCATAATGGGAATTGTAAAAACACACCCTTTGCTGCAGCGATGGCACCTGATTGGCAGTGGGCAGCGAGGCTCATTTTTTAACTCTTTTCCCCTTTCTAAACCCCAGGGATCATCTTTATCCCGTTGCCAGAATGGGGAGAGGTTGAGCCCCCACCACCGTATGAAATAATTTGCAGCAGAATTGCTGAGGAACCACCAATAAACGCCCCAGAGGCCACTTGGTCCTTTCAGACAAAACTCCCACAACAGAGCATTTAATGTCGTTCCCCTTCGTGGTGCAGCTGGGGGGGCTGGAGCCCGAGGATTATTCGTGGCTGAGATTTTTGGGTATTTCACACCAAAAAAAAAAAAAAAAAACCTAAACACCAAAACTCAAAATAAATTGTTCAGATGCACATTTGACTGAGCATTTTTGACCACTGACTTTCACCAAACCCATCAGTATGTAAGTGTACAGAAGTTTCAGATACAGCAGCCTACAGCTCTGCGACAGTTCTAACTAGAAAAATAGAGAATTCTTCCCAATAGAGACATTACACTGGCATTATTAAAAAAAAAAAAAAAAAAAAGGATTTCCAGCGCTCCTTCCTTTGCATTTATTTGTTCTCCCACCACCTGATAACCTTAAAAATATACAACAGTGTTATTAAGCAGAATATTTACATTTTAGTTTGTGAAACAATTCAGAGCCACCAGAGCCAGGAACCCAATTAACTGTCATCGTCTGCCTTTTCCATGAAGAATTCCCCTGGTACCCAACACGCAGCGACCGGGTTCCTGCACCTGAGAGGGCAAAGAACCCCACAAACTCCTCCTGCCGGGAGTAAAACAAATGTCACAAGCTTCATGGCACCCCCACAAAAACAGCTTCTTCCAGCCAAAGGCCATGTTGGCACCCCCAAAACCCAATAACCTGGTGTCACACAAACCACGGCTTCGTTCTCACCACACGAGAAATCACTGCCTGAGAGTCAGTGCAAATCCAAACCCACAGGTGGCAGAGCTGGAGTCGTGGGGGCTTCCCCAATTCCTAAAATGCCTGTTTCTTCGGTGACCTCCCAGCCCCTGGGAAGGGGGGAGCTGGTGGGAGGGAGGAGAGATGGAAGGTTTTATGGAAACACATCACAGAGGACAATCAGTCTGCACACACCGGGCTGTGCTGCTTTGGGGCAAACACAACTCACATGTTGGTGAGAAGAGCCAAATCACACACACGTGCACAGAGAAACACCCAGAGTGGGGCTGAGAGCGACCCCCTGGGGACACGTCCCACGGGGAGCGATGGGGGACACAGAGTGGGGACGGACACGGACGGACGGGCACCTTTGAAGAGTGACACAGACAGGACAGGTACAGCCCAACAGCAGATCTCTGAGAGGAGCATCTCCAAACCCCAGCCTCCACTGCCTACGTCTCCATGGCAGCAGGAAGGCTCTTGGAACAAGAAACTACTAAGAAGAAAATCATTATTTTAAGAAATTATTTAATATTATTATTAATTATCATTACTATTATTAATATCTGATATATAGAGAGAATTACAGGGTCAGGTGAAACCCCAGGGTGGTTTGCTGTCCCTCTGCCCCCGGGGAAGCTCTCCCGGGCGGGGGGGAGGTGACAATCACTTTATTCATCTCAGGATGAATATATATGAATATACGCCCAGGAGCCGGGTCTCAGACTGTCTCAGACTGTCCCCGGTCAGAGCCCATCACGCGATTCTTAATTATCTGGACACTGGCTGTGTGTACAACTGAACCGTTCCAGCTCACACGTCACTGCGTTTGAAGGGCTGCTGCAGACCTGAGCCACACACGCTCATTTCACAGGAAAATTTGCTGTTTTTTTAATTTTGCTTCTCCTGTTTCAGAATTCACTCTTTGAGCGGCTTAACCTGTGAACTCATTTTCACCTCTGCCAACGGGACATGAACCTCCCATCCTGCACGGGCACGTCTCTGGGAGCTTCAAAACAAGGTGGCAGTGACAACTTCTTTATTACACAAATGTTGCCGTGAACAAAAAGCTCTTGGGACCCATCAGCATCTTCCCCCTCAGAGTGAGGGCTCTGGCCACGAACGCAGAACCAGAGCTCCCAGCAGGGAAATTCCAGTGGTTCAAATCACAGATGAGACCAAGGGAGAGCAGGGCTGATCCCGGGGGAGCAACACCAGGAGCAGCTGAGACAAGGGAACACCCTCCCCTGCAGCTCCCGACCTCAGGAACCTGGGATGGCCACAGCGAGGGGTGCACTGGGGTGTCACACTGGGGTGCAGGTGCCTGAATTGTGAAATAAAAGCTATTTCCCTGTAATTTGCTCAGGGGGCAGGGTGGGAGCAGCCAAGACTGGGAACTGCGCCCTTATTCCTGGGGTTCTGGTTGTGTTTCAAAGCCCAGGTTCGGCCACAGCTCACCCCAACCCCCCCAGGTCATCTTCCTGCACTGATTTACATCTTTACCAGCCTCAAGAATGACCAGACCCGAGACAAGGCTCTAAGGTCCCTGGTGGTGGCACCTCTGCTGGACCTGCATCTCCCCCCGTAAAGCCACCAGCAGGTTTTGCCACCCTGGCTGAAGGGACAAACGGTGCCACCCCCCAGTGCCACAGGGAGGGGGGTGCCAGGGCAGGAGCTCTGCCCGGGGGCTGCACCAGGGGGCCCATGGTTAATTAGCAGATTCGGGTACCCAAACATCCCCCGTCTCAGAGCCCTGGGATACAGGAGGGTAACTACGCATTAATTGCATCTTCAAAGTACAGCAAGACCAACTATACACACAGGAAAAAGAATAAAACATGCAAAAATCCCCCAACTTTAAAAGGGTTAATAATTAATAAAAAAACATGTGCTGCTGAGACTCCTGCCCTGTCCACCCATTCTGCCCTGGGGTTCCATGAGAGGATCCAGGATCCTTAACAAAACACAGGGGTGGAAAAAAAGATGAGTGGCTTCTGAGTTACACTCCAGGAGGGGCTATTTTAGCCCGTTCCAAACTACGGACTCCTAGAAGTAAATGGTGTTTTCCTGCCCCCCACACTGCCCTTCACACACCAGCAACAACACTTCAATTTTATTTAACGCTCAGAAATTCCTGAACTGATTGCTCAGGGAATAGAGGAAGCAGCCCTGGAAACGACAAAGTTGATTCATAAAGCCACGGGCAGGTTTTGTCACCCTGGCTGAAGGGACAAATGGTGCCACCCCCCAGTGTCACAGGGAGGGGGGTGCTGGGGCAGGAGCTCTGCCCAGGGGCTGCACCAGGGGGGCCGTGGTTTATTGGCAGATTTGGGTACCCAAACATCCCCCGTCTCAGAGCCCTGGGATACAGGAGGGTAATTACGCATTAATTGCATCTTCAAAGTACAGCAAGACCAACTATACACACAGGAAAAAGAATAAAACATGCAAAAATCCCCCAACTTTAAAAGGGTTAATAATTAATAAAAAAACATGTGCTGCTGAGACTCCTGCCCTGTCCACCCATTCTGCCCTGGGGTTCCATGAGAGGATCCAGGATCCTTAACAAAACACAGGGGTGGAAAAAAAGATGAGTGGCTTCTGAGTTACACTCCAGGAGGGGCTATTTTAGCCCGTTCCAAACTACGGACTCCTAGAAGTAAATGGTGTTTTCCTGCCCCCCACACTGCCCTTCACACACCAGCAACAACACTTCAATTTTATTTAACGCTCAGAAATTCCTGAACTGATTGCTCAGGGAATAGAGGAAGCAGCCCTGGAAACGACAAAGTTGATTCGCAAACTGTAAGAAATGGCCCAAAATTAACGTGTGTGTGTTGGAAGAGGAAGGTCACCATCAAAAACGCAACTTTTTAGAGTTCCATTGTGTAAATTGAGTTGTGTTGGATCATGGAGATTTGGGAGGAGGATTTTGCCACCGCGCTGCATTGGCCTGTCAGGTACCAAAGGCAGGATGCCAACCTGCTCGCATGGCAACAAAACAAACAAAAAAATTTAAATGGTCGGAGATAAAAGCGTTCCTTACAAAAAATAATTTAGCAATTTGTAGATATAATTAGAGAAAAAAATGACATTGGAAGCGACTGCCGTCGGGCTGAGTTCTGCCGTGAGCCAAGCCCCGGGTGGGTGGAAGCCACACTTGTGTCTCCTGGGGCCACCCATGTCCCTGTCAACACGTGGCCGAGTCCAGAGTGGAGAGAGTCAAGATGCTCCTGTCGTTGGCACAGAAGGGATCCGAGGAGCTCCATGATCTAAAGCAACAATAAAAGAAAAGTTTGGCTGACGGGGAAGTGGGGACCTGGAGGTGAGAAGTGTCTGAGAGCGAGAGACAGAGACCAGAGACATGCAGCTCTCCAAGAGGACTCTACTCATCTCCTGCATGTACCCCCAGCTCAGTCAGAGCTCTGAAAACACCCTGCCATTAACCACAGCAACCAGGGAATCCCTCACCCCTCCCTGGGAAATCTGAGTTACAGTGTAAGGCATCAGGAAACTCCCCAAGGGGTCACAGCCTTTGATGGGGAGGGGATCCCACAACGTCCTTCTCTTAGGGACAGATCAGCACTTTGGAAGAAATCCTGCTCCTGGCTGAACACCACCACAGGCCTGTGTGTGAAAAGCTGAAACACAACAGGTGGGAAGGCAGGAAATCCAAGTACAAGGACCTTACAGTCCAAACTGGCCTCTGTCAGAAATCTGCTGTTTGCTCAGAACGTCCCCAAGTCAGGAGCGAAGGAGCTGGGGCAGGAGCCCTGCTGTACCAGGAGGAATGCCAGCCAGCACGGGGACAGACAGTGCCATGGGACAGACACACAGACAGAGCAATGGGACAGACAGACAGAATGCATTTTGTCAGACCATCACACACTCTTGATGCTCTCCCTGAGGAATGAAACCAGAGAAAGTGCTGCTCCTTGGACACACCTTCCAGGGAGAGAGCTGAGCAGAAGAGACCCCACTACTCCATGCTTTGTAGTTCCCCAAAGGCTCTACCCCAAGGTGAGGGGGTGTGTGATTTCACGTTCCATTACCATATTTGACAGCACATCCCCTTTGACAGCCCAGCAGGAGCAGAGACCACACCAGGTGCCACCTCCACAGCGCCCAGAGAAAACCTCCTGAGGAGCATCCCTCCAGTAACGTGCAGCCACCTCCTGAATCACAACCCGCTCTACAGAGCACAGGGACCCCAAAAAACATCCTCTCTGGGGCTGTGTGATGGCCCAGGACAGCAGCTTGAGGTAAAGATCGAAGCAGCTCAAGCTCATGAACAGAGGCCAAACAATTTCACAAATGTTTTCAAATCAACCAAGATATTTCTGCACTGTACCGTCAGCATTTAACCGTTTTCAACTGCCTTGTGGGATTTAAGAAATAAGTACGTTAAAAATTTTAATTACCAGGAAAGTGCAGGAGAAAACTCAGTCTTAGTACCTTGACGTTTAGACTGGGCTCTAAGTGTCAACGCTGAGGGGAAGGAACTGAACTCACTTCAGCCTTACACTGAAGTAAGAGGGAAATTAAAATAATGCCTTTTCTAGTTGTACTGTACATAAATTTAAGTTGTGGAGTCATTTCAACCAGAGGCAGAAGCAAAAACTCCAGCCCCTCAAGCCCTGAGTAGCAGCAGGAGAGTTCTGAGTGTTCCTTAACCACAACAGGGACCTCTGAGCCCTAAGGCCCCGCAGTCACCGGGCTGGATGGAGCCTGCTCTGAGAGCCACAGGAGCTCAGCAGCCAGGACACCTGAGGAGCAGCACCCTTCCAAAAGCGTGTCAGATTCTGTCAAATAGGAGTTACTTCAATAAATATTTGTAAATTCTTAAAGGAAGAAAAATTGAGTGGTAAAGAAAGAGGAAATGGCAAAAATGTAAAAGCATCGCAGAACACAAAGCAGAATACCCACCTGAGAGACTGCAGGGCACTAAGGCAAACCTTAACTAAAACCTGCCCTCGTTAGGGAACAGCAAATGAGAAAAGCAGCAGGAGAAGCTCTTCATTTGGAAAGCACAGTTTTACAGCAAAGTGGAAAAAGCCCCAGGAAAACCTTAGAGCAGCTGCTACCCAAATGTTGATTTTTTCAGACCAATTAAATGTTCACCTCGTGGATTAAAAATTCTATTGAACTGTTTATTTTATACATCATGCCCGCTTCCCGTACAGCAAGAGTCTGAAGTAAAAAGGTTCTGAATCACGACAGCTGGATTTCCACAGGGGATGGAACCTTCTGCAGAAGGACAGCCCGGGTTTGCAGGAGGGGAAGGGACCCCGAGAGCGGAGGAAAGAGGGGGAGCGGGGCCACCGTGTCCCCAGGAGACACCCCAGGGATGTCCCCCGGGGCAGGGCCGTCCCCAGCAGCAGCGTCAGACCCAGCAGAGACCCCACAGGGTCCCACCCCCCACGAATGATATCACGGGCTTCCACCAAGAGAGACAGAACTTGGGCAAAATTGTGGACAAATATGCGTGAAATGCGACTTTTTCAGGTTTGACCAATGAAAGGGCCCCGATATCATTCGGAGACGGAGAGATCACGATGTACAAAAGCCTGGGTTTTGTGTTTCTACCCCCAAATATTTCCCTGGGTTGGGGAGGGGGGAGGTGGCACAGATTTCGTGAGAGGGATGCGACTGCAAGAGCAGTGCTGCTCCTCACACGTGGCTTTATCCCAGTGATGTTTGTTTCACACATGGTTTGTGAAGGAACAAGGAGATTTATTTAGCACAGACTTTGGAATGGCACACATGAGTTTGACAATATACCTTCTAGAACCCAAAAAAAAACCCCCTTTAAAATTCTTAGAACCCGGAGGCTCTGTTCTGTCAATTAACTCTGACTTTAGAAATAGATTATAAAAGTTATACTACAAAAATATTTCATCTTCATATCAATCAATGGCTGAAAGATTTAAAGACTCTCCTTCTAACAACGTGGTTACATTTAGAGAGGGGATGCGTGAGCCTTTTGTGTAACGTCAGGAGTACTGCAAGCTCCAAGGTAAATATTTGGAGGTTGTACATCAAGAACCAGAGGGAAAAGCCTTTCGACTCTACAGACAACTCCTGATTGGTGAAGGCAAGAAAAAAAAATAATCGCAAAAAGGAGAACAAAACCAGCAGCGAGGCTTGATTTTTCTAAAGAGAAGAATGTACAAATCAAGAGAAATCACGACAGACACAACGCAAGAGCTCGCAGGAAGCCAAACTGAACGTTGGGACAGAAACCTGCTCGGAACCGCTCGTCCCCCTCCTCCCCATCCCAAAAGAAAGAAACCAGAAAATAATCTTTTAGGGTGAAACCCAGTAGGGCGGGAGGGCCGCGCGTCCTGCGGCGAGGAGCGGAGCCCGCGGGGGGCTCGTTAGCCATCTGCAGCAGCGGGCTCCTCGGGCTCCAGCTTGTAGGAGACGCGGCGGCAGCAGAGGCTGCCCAGGGAAATGCCGCACCTGCGGGGGCTGCAGCGCCCCGTCACCCGCTCCACAGCTCGGCCAAGAGACGCGCACGCTGCTGCCGCGCAGCACACCGACTCCACGCAGCCCACACCGGAACCTGCCGCAGAGAGCTGGGGGGGAGAGAGAGACAACAACACAAAAAAAGAAAAAAAAGAGTCAGTGCCCAGATTCCAGCAACAAGGATTGATCGCAAAACACTTAGGAAAAGCTTAACTTAAAGTTGGAGTGTTGAGTATTTTTCAATTTTAGAGGCGAGCCACAATAATGAATAACGTCACTGAGGGGAGACCTCATTGCCCTCTACAACTCCCTGAAAGGAGGGTGTAGAGAGGCAGGTGTCGGGCTCTTCTCCCAAAGGACGAACGACAAGACCAGAGGAAATGGTCTGAAGTTGGGGCAGGGGAGATTTAGATTAGATATTAGAAAGAATTACTTTACTGAGAGGGTGGTCAGGCCCTGGAACAGCCTGCCCAGGGAGGTGGTGGAGTCACCATCCCTGGAGGTATTTAAGAAACGTATAGACATGGCTCTTCAGGGCATGCTCTGGTGCCCAAGGTTATTGGTTTATGGTGAGGTGTTGAGTGTGGGGTTTAGTTGGTGGGTGCGCTGTTTTTGGTGGGCATTTGGTGTGGTGTGTTTTGTATTTGTTTGTTTGGTTTTTTTGCTTTGTTTTTTTTGTGGTTGGACTCAATGATCTCAGAGGTTCCTTCCAACCACTAAGATTCTGTGATTCTGTCACCATTTTGCTTCTGAAGGTCTGTCTCAAATTTGATCTCCCCAAAGTCTGAATGCAGCCCTGGTGAGCAGTCGCTCAGCACCATCTCTGGCAGCTCCCATGGTCCAGCTGGAAGGAGCCTCTGGAGCAGAGCATCCTGCAGCTTAAGCCACAAGGCCTCAGGAACCCCCCGTGGGGGCACAACGTAGAGAAGCTGCAGCTCTGCCCGATTTTAAGGGAAATCCATCAGGAGAAAGCTCCAGAGCAGGGGTGCAGAGCACAGTGCAGCACCCTGACCGTAAGTCATAGTTTTTCCCACAAGAAGCACAGAATGCAACTTTCTATAATAATTTACTTTCCATCACTCCCACAGACAGCCTTGGCTGGGTCAGGAACAAACACACACTCCTGGGTTTGTGCATATCTTTTATCTAAAGGCAAACAAGGCTGATGTTAGAAAGGTCCTGTCACGTTCATCTGGTGTGAAGAACAACCCAACATTAACATCATAAACTTTCTACTCTTCATTCTCTGTAGGTGAGAAACCAACTCGAACAAACCGAAAGAAGTGACACAGAGTTTACAGGGTTTACATGAAGAGCCATCCATAGTGTGCTCCCCATATCACTTTTGCAAACAAGCCAAGGGCAGCATAACTAAAATCCACCAGAAATCTAGTGCTGCTGGAGAGAGTACCCAAGCCTGACCTCAGTGTCCTCTCCAGAAGGAAACAAAAACATGGGGATGCTTCTTAATTTAACTCAAAACAAATGCTAAAACAGAGGCTAAATTTAAGCCTCCATCCATCTCTCCCTCCCTCTCAGACACCAGTGACCAAAGGGATCTGGGAGGAGGCACCTCGGTCTATGAGAGGACACCGCTCACTCAAGAGCTTCCCCCACCTCTCCCCGTGTCACCAAGGGCTGGTGACTGTTCTACAGGCTTTGGCTTCCAACTCTGATTTCTTTCACACCACTCCCCCTCACCCAACACTGCACGGAAAGCAAAGAACCTCAGAGTTTCCTACGGGAATGGTTCACTGTGAGTGGACACGTTCCTTCCTAATCCCCAAAACCAGGGAACTGGAGAGGTTACAGCTCCAGACCAGAACTTCTCCAGAACCTTTCCTGTGCTGCAAAGGAAAGGCAGCAGAGAAAAACAAGAGGCATGTGGAAATCCAAGGGAAAGATTCCAACTGGTAGGACAAACACGCCGGCAGAACTGGTGTTTCCAAGCATCATTTCCACACCTGCCCCTTCCTCAGCTCTGCACTCCCCATGGTCCCTCAGATCTTCCTGTCTCACCGCTGAACCTGGCACCCATAGGACTCTCAGATAACACGTGTAGGAACCTACAGAAACCAGCACAGACTGAAACCCTCAATCCAGTTACTGGGCCTGGGAGGCAGGAATGAGTGCAGGAGAACACGCACTTCTGACTCGCGCTCATTTGGGAGGTCTTCTGGGCACAAAAGGAACATTTACTATGGTATGACAATGAACTTGTGTAAATACCTGAGAGACGGGAGCACCTGACAGGTCTAAAGGGGGTTTTGGTTAAAACAAAACCTCAACAAAACAAACCTCAACAGGCCTTCAGTCCCCAAACGCCCTTATTTGATGACCATCACATCTGGTCACAACTGTCACGTGAGACACCACGACTGGGAGCACTGCAGGACTAGCAAACAGGACCTTCTTGGCCACCTCGTGCTGTGCCCACAGAGTGTCAGCCCAGAAACTACACCGAGGAGAAGGGACCCCTGTGAGGAGGTTCAGAAACCAACCTCCCTGCCACCATGCGGTGATCTTCTCCGCTGTGTCCACAGCAACACAAAACCAACCTCTCAACATTCCCACACTGGGGATTTCAAAAAGATTATTTAGTCCATCCGTTACCTCGAAGCAGACCAAGGAACACCTCCAGCGTGTCTGTACACAGCTGTAGGGTCAGATGGACTGGACATTATTTCCCCTAGAACCTGCTGACCCAGAGCTCACAGCCCCAGGTAGCCCTCAGAGACTGGCAGAGAGATGGACCAAGAGGAACCCAAACCAGCTTTCCAGGAGAGAACCCACAGCTCTGGGTTTTGCAGGGCTGGTGTCTCTTCTTCACTACCATCTCCTTGGTTCCTCACAAGTCAGATACTCACAAAAAGCTAGGATCCCGCTTGAACCAAAAGTTCGTATTACTCTTTTTTAAAAAACAGCAAGTGTGACCTTACATAAGCCTGGAAACAACACTTATGTTTTCTCAAACTCCCAGTTAAGTGTGAAGTGATACTGGGAGAGCACCAAGGACAACACACAAATAAATTCAATTTTATGCATAGATATATTGTGTATCACTGCCTGGTGAACATGGATTTTTATATTTATATCCACTACCTGGAAGAGACTTATATCAGGCCAGAGAAAGCCTCTTCCCACTTTTCTCTGTGGCAGACAATTCTGCCCATAGCTTTATATCCATGGTGAGGCAGTAAAGCATAATGGTCTCTGAAGACCTGAAACAAACCCTCAGGAAATAAAAGGCAGGAGAGACAATGCTTTAAAAAAAATTAATAAGTATAGAGAAATATTTGGTATTATTCATATTTGGGCTCCAAATAAAGTATTTTCATAAGATTAGATCCGGGATCACAACAAACATAATACTTTATATGATAATGGCCCGTTCCATGTAATAAATCAAAAAGAAACTGAAGTGCGGAACTAAAGAATGAGTCAGCTGGGTAAGGGGGAAAAAAAAATATCAAAAAATAAATCAAAGCCACAAGCTGTAATGTGAATTTTAGCGCGGATGCTGAAGAGATGGGTGTTTGGGGATGGCTCCATGGGCATGTGTGAGGCTGCAGAGGGTGCAGGGAGGTACTACCTAGCGCAGGCAGGAGCTGCCGGGCGGACTAGCGGGGTCTAGCAGTTGCCTATCGTCCTCCCCTCGGGGCCTGCCTTCAGCAAAGTCACCTGCTGAGCTGACTGAACCCTTATCTTCTGCCATCTGGAAGGACAGAAAAGCAACACATCTTATCAAGCTTTAAAACATTTTTTTTTTTTTTTCAGATGAACTTTCATGCTACAGCTCTGTTCCCGAGAGAAGGAGGCATGTCTACAAGGTAAAGAGGCAGTTTTTGTCCACGCTGATGGGTGGATCAAACACTGTTCATCAGGGCACGGGTACCACAAGTGTTTGGTCCTTTTGCACACCAGAGGCTACAAAAGCAGAAAAGCCAATAAATTTGAAATGTCTTTCAAATTTTCACATTCTGATTTCAGATTTTGGAGTTTTATTTGGTTTCCCCCTTCCAACAGAAAGGCCCGTTTCAGTATTTCTGAGTGTTCTATACGCCACAAGACAGATATTTTCACTCAACATTTAATCACACTGAGATACACAGCTAGGACCTGGCTGGACAGAACCGTATTTAATGCTTGTAGGTGCCTCTGAGCCCTGGAGTGTTCCCCCTGAGCCCTGGAGTGTTCCCCCTGAGCCCTGGGCCCACCTGCAGCACGGCTGATACCACATGGACATTTCAGGAAATATATATATCTGAGATGGTTATTACTATTCCACAATTAAGTTAAAGCCTGCTCCCTACTGTGAGGCTCACTTTCTCTAACCCTCAATATACTCTACGCCAAAATCCCAAACAATTCGATTTAGAATTTTAAGAGATAATTTAAGAATGTTGACCTCTAACAGTTTCACTGACAGTTATGTTTTCAACATTCTTCTAGTTTTTCTGCTCCCCATCTCTTTGAATCAAACAGACCTACAAATGCCAAATTATTTCATTATTTTAAAGTCATTAGGCAAAGGTATCTAAATAGATACATGCATTTTTCTGACTGGAGATGAACATGAAATAGTCTATTCCTCATAAGAATGTTGACCTCTAACAATTTCACTGACACTTATGTTTTCAACATTCTTCTAGTTTTTCTGCTCCCCGTCTCTTTGAATCAAACAGACCTACAAATGCCAAATTATTTCATTATTTTAAAGTCATTAGGCAAAGGTATCTAAATAGATACATGCATTTTTCTGACTGGAGATGAACATGAAATAGTCTATTCCTCTCCCATTTACTCCCTGTACTAGATGCCATGGTGTAGCCAACAGCTCAGCACCACCCACAGGGACAAACCTGGAGAGGAAGAGATGGCTCTTGCTCAAGGTTTAGCCATAAAGATGAACACGAAATAGTCTATTCCTCTCTCATGTACTCCCTGCACTAGATGCCATGGTGTAGCCAAGAGCTCAGCACCATCCCACACGGACAAACCTGGAGAGGAAGAGATGGCCCTTGCTCAAGGTTTAGCACATTAAGGTGTTCTGGGACACCTCACTAGTGCAAATGCACGTCTGCACTCACATTTCTTGGAAATCACAACTTTCTTACAGAAAACCTATGCTGTAAAGGCAACAGCAGCCCGTCTGCTCCCCAGTGCTGGGCTGCGGGGCTGGGAAAGCTGTCGGGAGGGGGACCCATTGCTCCCCATCTCTTTGAATCAAACAGACCTACAAATGCCAAATTATTTCATTATTTTAAAGTCATGAGGCAAAAGTATCTAAATAGATACATGCATTTTTCTGACTGAAGATGAACACGAAATAGTCTATTCCTCTCTCATGTACTCCCTGCACTAGATGCCATGGTGTAGCCAAGAGCTCAGCACCATCCCACACGGACAAACCTGGAGAGGAAGAGATGGCCCTTGCTCAAGGTTTAGCACATTAAGGTGTTCTGGGACACCTCACTAGTGCAAATGCACGTCTGCACTCACATTTCTTGGAAATCACAACTTTCTTACAGAAAACCTATGCTGTAAGGGCAACAGCAGCCCGTCTGCTCCCCAGCGCTGGGCTGTGGGGCTGGGAAAGCTGTCGGGAGGGGGACCCTATGAGACAGGAACTAGAGTTAAAAATGCAGAGAAACAGGGAAGGGCGTAAGGGCAGGGGCTCTGGAGAAGCCAAGGCAGGTGGGTCTGGGCACAGCCGAAGGAGAAGGGGTAACAGTGGTCCCTGGGGGGAGAAGAGGGTCCTGCTGTGCTGGGGAGACCCTGGGTACAACATCACACACCACCAGCCTCCCCTGCAAATAAACCCCTTCTGTGCTTTACACTTGTGCAGTCCTAACACACTGCCCAAAGGTAAAAGCCCTGTGGGGGCACACGCTGCAGTTGGAGACCCTGGGTACAACATCACACACCACCAGCCTCCCCTGCAAATAAACCCCTTCTGTGCTTTACACTTGTGCAGTCCTAACACACTGCCCAAAGGTAAAAGCCCCACAAAAACACAGTTAACCCCATCAGAAAGAAGAATTAAAGCACCTGCCTGAGCAACACTTCTCACGTGTGGCTCAAGATTCCCGACAGTCCTTATAAAGCACAGAGATGTGTATGAACACACGGGCACACAGAACTTTGTTTACAAGGAAAAACCTGAAATGAGGCACCAGGGGGCCCAGGTTTACCCTAAAACAGGTATTTCAGGTGTTCCCAGCCCAGGAGAGACAGCGACAGGGGAAGCAGCAGCACTGGGTGGGTCTGCAGCTCGGCACAGAGCCTGCTCTGCCCCATCTCCTGCTCTCCCAAGATACAAAGGTGCAGGTGAGGATCAGAGCCAGTCACAGAGGCACACACAGACTGTTTCTGACTCACAGCTATCACCTGGACACTTAAAAGATCTCAAAGCTCATGCCTACATCACTTCAATGCACAGTACGAAGCGCTCAGTGCTTGTGTGTCAGGCACTTCCCCAGCAGATACACAAGTGTAAACTCTCTGACATACGAGAGAACTGGATGTGCATCATCATTTCATACTCAGGGACAAAACAGATTTCCCATTTTTATAACCCTTAGAACCCATTTAATTTTGGAAAGTTTAACAGAACCTTGTGCTATAAAATCTTTGGTGTAGAAACGATGCTCCACGTCATTCACTGTAGTAATTCAGTGAGAAAACAGAGCCTTACTGGAAACATATTCATCTAAGGTTTTAAAAAGGAAAGTTATTTGCATGACACTGATAAACCAAGAATTTTAAAGGCTAACTTGTCAAGGGTTTGGCAGAGGAATGTCCCCAGTACACTGCTAAATTTAGGGAAATGCCACAGTTTGCCTGTGTTAAAGCTGGTAAGTGCCACACGGAAAACCAACCCACTGTCCAGTACCTGCCTGGGTGCCTGGAAACCTAAGGTGATGTGTTCCTCAGCACCCTCCCCTTAAAAGCACTTGTATCACCTGTTCCCATTAACCACTACTAATTCTCTGCTCATCGTTTATCACGGCAGCTTCCTGTCTCCTGCTTTCCCTTAGTTAACCAAATGGCAATTAAGTCCCCAAACTGCAGGCTCTCTGAGCACCTATCTGCATGCTTTTAAACAACACGGTCACCTTAAAAAAATATATGTTCTAAGGGAATCAGTTCTTTGCATTAACTCTTGCTATAGAATTTATAGAAGTAGGTAAGCATTGGATAAAAAAAAAATAATCTAACGGGTTGAGATACTGTTGATCCCTATGAATGTTTTAGTCTTACAAGAGAGATTCAGCATTTCACTGAACTCAGGGCATTTGAAGAGTCCCAGAATCACACTGGTTCACCTACAGACACCTGGATGCTTAGATTTATTTATTTTTCTGAATAATTTTCTAGGACTTTGTAGCCAAATGCCCTTAGGAATATGTATCTATACACATTGAAAACAAACAACACTCACTTTATAGATGCACAAAACAAACACAAAAAGCCGTAGCCGCACGAATGTACGTAACGCGCCCAAACTTCAAACAGGGTTTGCTCTTTCAATACAAGTGGGAAGCAAATTAAAACGGGCAAACAACTCGCCTGAAATACAGAGACCTTCCTGTCACAGCCTGATGGAGCTGAAATTATCCAACATGCAAAAAAGCACTGTTAATTCTGGTCGTAAAGAAACGAAAAGCGCAATAACCATGCCAGAAACTGTGGTTATTGGGGAATGGATGCAAGAAGAGCTAGGTCTGTATTCTGAGAGTCGAGCGCCATGCCAGGGATGGTTCCTCCTAAAAAAGCAGGTCCAACACATGCTGCTCAGGAGAAGCGTTTGGCTCAGAAGACACAGAGCAAAGGCGAGAAATACCGGCAGGGGATGTCTGTGGGCTGCAGGACGGCCCTGGCCCATGCCTCTCCCGGCCCTCTGGCCCCCACATGCACAGGGGGTGGCCAGCCCCTCTCCCTCCTACTCTACCTAATTTTGCTCAGCTGACTCCTGGCCCTGGACAATGGCTGCAGCGCGATGAACTCGTCGCTTAAAGCAACTCTGTTGGAGAACATCTACAACGGGACAGAGAAGGGATGGAACACACAGGTCAGTGAGCAGCAGCGGTAATTGTCTAAGAGAGAGACACAGGACAAGACATCGTTATTTAAGTGGAATAAACATCAGTCACAGAACACCAGGCTGGTGCCCCCAGGACAGCCCCTGCCATCACCACGGCCAGCTGCTGGTTGGTAGGACCATTCTTAGCGTATCTCAGCTTCTTACCAAGAAAAAAGGCCTATACATTTCTCCATCTATACTTTACCTGACATCTTGATTCAGTATTGCCTTCTCCTCTCAGTAGTGCTGGGATTTATATTTACCTGAAGATTTATCTTTTGATTCAGATTTACCTTACTGTTCACTTCCTCCTATATGATTCTGTACTGTCAGAAACTACCCAGAAGCTACTTCAGGGCAAGAGAGCTAAGGCATATATAATAAAATGGGTTTTCTCTAACTCAACTCATGCTTGCCTGTCAAATTTTTAATATACTGACTTCCCAAAATGAAACAGAGATTATTTCTTTAAAGTTGCTGTGACAGAACAATATTTACATTTAAAAGTTTATCTTTAGCAGAATTTCCCAAGCATTTCTCTCTTACACCAGTGAAATTTCTTTGCTCTCTTATGAATAACTTTGCTACACGTAACATCTAACAGACTGACTGTTGATGCTATGACCTTATACTAAATAAAAGGTATAAAATCAAGTTCCTTATGTACCGAGTAGGGCAGATGGCCACAGATCAGTGAATGCAGAGCACTCAGCTGGGTAACTCACACAACTACTCTGCTCTTAGTTTCTGAACAATTAAAACAGGGACAAGCGTTTTCAGCCCAGAACCCTGTGTTTTGCTCGCTGCTCCTGGGAATATTTTAGAATTTAAATGATGGCAAACAGGAACAAATAATTCACATAGCTGTGCTTTAAAAATCAGTGACTAGGTCATGTAACATTTTATCTTCTCCAAATAAAAACTTGGTAACTGTAAACTCAACTTTTTCTGTCCCCAATATGCAAATATACTTGGTCCTACAATTAAAATGAACAACTGAAAATATTCAGTTATACAGAGGGTGTACCTACACTATGAAAAACACATTTAAAAGGGCAATGCATGAAGTTCCATATTCACTCTTTCAATGACTTCCACAGAAAATTCCTCAGTATTTAGGACAAAGATATTCTTCAAACTCATTCTGTCTGAAAGAGAGTACTGAAGCCTTTCTGGACAAATCAGATTGTAGATGCTCTGACTTTGCGATACCAGGAATTAAATGTTTTCAGAAAGAGACAGTATTTTGGTAAACATCCATCCTAATGCTGACACTGTCAAATGACAAAGCAGAATGGGAATAAGGAGACAAAAGAAAAGGAGTAATAGAGATGCACACAGCAAAATCCCTGTGGCTGTGAATCAGGCTACAGCCCCAGGAAAGGGGTCAGACATCAAGATTCATCAAGGTTTTGCCTTAAAAATAAGAAGTCCAACTGTGTCCTTGATGACACAACTGTAATGGAAGCAAACTGAACCCAGAGAGTCTTTAAAATTGCTTCAGAAAGCAAGAAAATGCAACAAGAAGTATCCAGATGAAGCTTTGGGAAAAAGGTGAGGGTGTTTTGGGTTTTAATTCAAGCACTTTAGGACCACGAGAAGCCTGAAGAAGCAGCTCGATGCACTGCTGGACACAGCTGATGGACAGGAAGGAAGGAAAGGGAAGCTTTCAATTAACATTGCCACTAGCTTTTGAAGGAAAAATAAAAGATAATTAAGTATCATTACCCATAGAACTTCTTCTAAGTCAAGACTTTAATCCAAGAAGTGCAGTAAGGAGCAATCCAGAGTCTCATCAGGTCTGGCTGAACTGTTTGCTCAAAGCTACTGCTTATTTACCTCGACCTTTAGCTACTAAATGCCAAGACTGGAAAAAGCATCTAATATTCAACAAATGGGGTATTTTGGCCAGCAATGGGTTTGTCAGTGTGAAGCTGGTCCTAGGCAAACTATGAGAATGAGAAAAAGATGCAGAAGGTAAGAGATTACTGTTGCATATTATTTTGTAAAAGGAATACAGCTGGGGGATTCGTTATTCCCACACTTGGCACAGATGTAGGCTCTGCTGGAAGAGTGTGTCCACTGGAGAAACCCAAAATTCAAGATGAAGTTGAGGAATAGTGATGATCACAGGAGAAACACAAGAATGACCAAAGGACTGGAAGGTAGCCTTTTTGACAAAAGATGCAAGTCCAACCTACTTCTTAGTGATAAAATTAACTTGATCACAAATCTAACCATAAGTAAAACAAAACACTGTTAACAGAAGGCTTTTCAGTTCAGCAGAAAAATACGTAAGAAGATAAAATACTGGAAACTGTGACTATGAGAACAACTGGTCAGGATGGCTTCTCCAGAACTCTCAGTAAAAGGAAAACGCTAACACAGAAAACATTTTTACCTAAAAGAGCCTAAATTCAACAGAATGATTTCAAGGAGGTTTTGTAGCCTGTGTCAGGCAAAAGGGAGATTGTTACCACAGCATGTCCTTAGACCTTGGCTATGAATTTATGAAAATGACATGTGGGTAATTACCTTTAATTACATAATCAATGATCAAATCACATGCCATGCGATATGATCAAGATTTAAGGAATACTAATTAAAACAAGTCCTACTAAAATAATTTTTAAAAGTAGTGTTTTCATCACATTGTAAGAATTGTTCAGTGTCAGTTAGAGTTGAAGAGAGTTTCGAATACCTGGACAAAAATGAAAGTTGCCATCTTTAAAGCAATATAAAAACGCACAGCATGATCCTCTCATACAGCCGCAGACTGAGATGCAAAAGACTGAGTGACCCCTCCATAAGTGACTCTACAACTGTTAATACCAATTACTTAGACATAAATGTTATTTCCTTGTAAAACGGTGTCCTCGTTTCTGCAATTTTAAATTAACAATGATATTTTGAAATGAGAACATTTTTATGCATTAAACATGACAGCAATATAAGAGGATAATTTAATACCACAGGAAAGTAATTAGTTTACAAGAGAGGCTTTAACAAAGGTGTTCTGGAGAGAGCAGCAGCAGGTTACCTGAGCTTTTTCCGTACTGGTGGGTTGTAGGTGTCTGTACAGCACTTTCTTCACAACATCAAGGAACAAACAAGCAACTACGATGAGGATTATGGCAAACCAAGCAGAACCACTTGACAACAGCTGAACAAATACGAAGTACATGTCCTGGGTGTGTAAAAATGGCCTGGAAAGTTAAAAGAAGCAACAATTACTAAAAGGAACGTCTAGAAACCCAAGTACAGTCCAGGCAGGCTCAAGTGTACCCTCATTTGACAGCCAGCAGGGAGTCCCCCGGGAGGCAGAGTCAGGCTGCTGGTGCCCAGCAGTTTGTTGGACCGGAAATTCTGGGGCAGGAGGGTACCCAGCTTCGGAGGGAAACCCTCTAGTTCAGCTTTAAATGGTGCTGCAGGAAATCAGTCACCATTCCTATTCTTACAAGACCCCAAAACAGAAGCAAACATACAGCACTTTACTGATTCTAACCCCAGCATCTCCATTTCAGTTGTAAAGATTTACTTATCACGTAGCACCTTTGGGAACCCATCTACTTTTTAGAAACAAAAATGCCTTTGTAGCCCCAGGCTGTGAGAGACGAGTAATCCCTGTCCTTGAGCACAGGATGGCTTGGCAGCACCACCCAAGTTGCTGAAAGAATCACCAAAAGAGAGTGGGCACTCTAGGTTTAAAAAATTCACAAAATTCAGAGCAACATGGCAGAACATTAATACTTCAGTGGTTTTTCATAACTTCACTTATCATATGTGCTACAGAAAGGAGAGGAAAATAAAGAATAAAAAGAAGAGAATCACTCACCAGATAATTCCCCCATAAAACAAGGAGAATATGAAATAAAATACAATGGATCCCCAAGTAACAAAATGGTTTATCCATGTCCAGAAGTGAGTTTCTAGAGCCATCTAAAACAAAGATAACTCCAATGAGCTTCATTTCTCCCCCAGCTTCACAGCAAATGATAAATACCGGTTCTGAACATGATTAATGAACTTTCAGCACAAACACTAAAGAAAGTTCTAACGTGCAAAAATTGCAAAGAAAAATTCTGACCATCACTGAAACTTCTGTCTAACTTTTGAATCAACTTTGAATTATCACTCTATGACATATTTGCTGCATTACCCAGGCACAGAGAGTAATTAGTATAATGTCATACCTTCATCGTAACGGTTATAACCATAACGGTGAAGACCAAAGTACCAAATGTCCAGTTTCCAAACATCTATGGGAATGGCAAGGTAAAAATCATGGAAGAAAAAAAAATAACAGATCAGTTAAGAGCATTGCTGTTAAGTTAGATTCTTCTCAAGGCAGCTACACTAATGGAAGGAGTCTGAGCACATCCGCGTGTGACAACTCATCATCGTGAAAAAGCAAGGACAGAACACAAACTACTAGAAGGAAATACAGCTTATGATAAGAGCAAAATTAACAACCCACAAACCACCTTTCTTCTTGGTTCAAAACAAATCACCACAAAGGCTACATGAGGTATGAAGAAAGTCCAAAACAGTAACATGAAGCGATAGGAAAATGAAGATACCACTTGGATCGACTAAGTAAAAGCACCCAACAGAAAGCAAGTATTGGGTGGAAGGTATTCACTTGTACACAAGTGCAAAACACTTTGAGTTTAAACATTTCCAGATCATTTTCAACATGCAGCATCACCTGAAAGTTTACTTTGTACCCCAAGCACGATTCTACAATTCAAAAATAATGGTGCCATTTCTATTTTTTTTCAAGAAAATTCTACGGAAAAGACACTTTGTTTCAAGGCTAATAAAGACAAAATTACGCTTCAATTCTAAAATGCCGCATCTGTCACTTTGGCAGTCTCTTGCCCACGTAAACAAAAAACTATCAAAGCTCTGAACAAGCTCTACAACGCCAGGATCTCAGCTGTGACAACCAAGCAGGGACGCCGGCCCCGCGCCCCCCGACAGCCGTGGGGCCGTGGGGCAGAGCGGGTCCTGCGGGGGAGCGGGGACGTGGCTGGGTACCACATGCAGCCAGGCGCATCCCAGCGAGCTGTTAGTAGGGCAGGGGCAGGGAGCTGGGATTCAGGGCGTTGTAGTCCTCGTTACAGAGCTCTGACAGGCACCCCACAGCCCCACGGCACATCCCACAAGGGCTTTTCTCATCCCTCTGCGCAAAAATCGAGGCAGCCGGGAGTCTCGATTTACCCATCATTTTAAAGTCCTTTGTTACAACACGTCTCCTGAAGCCTTCCATTTACTTTTCACACTGACAGTAATGTTCAACAAGCAACACGGTTGTGTCAACTGCTGCCATAATCATCTTAAGGTACAATTAAACTCCTGAGCGTCCCGTGAAAGAAAGTGTCTTTGCTAACACCACTCAGAGTTAGAATGAAGAACGGCAACGGGTTCTCGCCACCATTTTATTTTTGAACACATTTACACCATGGATGCTGCATCCTTCAGTCCTGGGAAGTAACAGATACAATATTTTTGTATCTCCTCCTCTTCTAAACTCTTACCATTTGCCTGTTAGGCTTCAATATCTGGCGACATGCACAGCGTGAAAAAGGGGGGGAAAAAAAAAATAAAAAGAACTAAAAGATCAAGTTGTTGCACAACGTGTTGAGGTAAAGCCTAACAAACCACCAGCATTAACTAATTATTTATAGTCTCTTCTGTTCTGCTTTGCTCCCAACTGAGAACTTGGAATGACAATGTGAGGCCTGGCACTGACACCACCCTGTGTCACACGTTCCCCCAAAGCCATCACTTCTCCAGGGCTCCTCACAAGAAAGCACCTTCTCTTGCCTTTAACTTTGGTTTTTTCAGGCACACGTTCAGTTTCCCACAGACTTTCTGCACCACAGATGTTTTCCTGCAACACACTATTCTACCAGTCCCAATACTCTGTGTTTGCTAAAAGGTGGTTAACTCCAAATAAATTCCAAGACCTTTTTTTTAAGTTACATCACAGAAAAGGTGAGAAGCCAAAGGGCATCTGAAAGCTTTATTTCTAGTGTGCTCAGTCACTAAGTATATTTAGCAAATCTTGAGGTTATCTATACAAGAAACCATTAAAAGAACCTTCTCCATAAAGTCTACGTTGACAGCCTGGTCTAGACTCACCAAATATAATCTATTCCCCAAACTAAACATTTGTTACTAAAGACTAAAAGAACCTGTCTACGTTGACAGTCTGGTCTAGACTCACCAAATATAATCTGTTCCCCAAACTAAACATTTGTTACTAAAGACAGTGGAAAAAGTCTGTTCCTGCCTGGTGGAGGTTAAAGGAATTTTGAAGGGAGGAGTTTTGATAGACAGAAACACACTGATTTGTCGTGTAAAATTACTTGGTTAGAGGAGTACTGAAGACCCTTTGCCAACTCACATGGACTTCCAAGTCACACAGCTTGGAACAAGTGGCAGGAGAGGACACACTGTTACCTCAGCTCTAAGGGACATTTCAGTCTCAAGCACAACTATTTAACCTCCTTATCAACCACCTGATGATGCAAGGGGCCCTCCAGCTGCTGCCCCACACCCCTTACTGCTCCTCAACACACCCAGCACCACTTTTACTTCACCATAAAGAACATTTTTTATGAGAGAAAAATCAGTATCTAATTGTTCTACACTGGGCTAACAAACTCAGAACTGGGGAAAATGGGGAAGCAGCCTTGGGATGGTTTCACACAAGCCTGACAGTCTTTTGTATACAATTTGTTTCCTGTGAACTTGAACATCTTAAAATATAAAGTGTCAAATTAGTATTTCACGATTTCATTAAGTTATTGCCTTAAAAACATTTATTGAATAAAAAGTACAACTTAAAAGCAACTTGCACCACCTAATTTTTAAAAAATCTGAGTAAAATAGAACGTGTCAAATTAGTATCTGATGAATTCATTAAGTTACTGCCTTAAAAACATTTATTGAATAAAAAATACAACTTAAAAGCAGCTTGCACCACCTAATTTTTAAAAAATCTGAGTAATTAAAATAATACAATTTCAGAAGACGCTTTAAGACCTTTGGCAGTGTTCAGATTTAAGCCTAATAATACAACAGATGCTAAAGAGACGCCACCGTGAGGCACTGCGATTAAGTCCAACTCAAAATGAGTTTTGAATTAATATAAATCTCATTTACTGAAGGTACGACATATGATTATGACAAAAACAGTCTACATAATAAAACAAAGTGTAAGACAATCCTAACACATTTATTATCTTGAGAGAGATGTTCTTCATGGACATACACTTTCCGACAACATGCCTTACAGGTTCCACACTAAGAGATCTTACTCTTGAGAGGACACACGAATATTGCTAAAGCATCTCTGATAATTATGTAGCTCATAAAAAAAATATAGCTGAGATTTTTCTGACACAAGAGCATTTAAAAAAAAAAAAAACATCTTACTCTTGAGAGGACACATGAATACTGCTAAAGCATCTCTGATAATTATGTAGTTCATAAAAAAAATATATCTGAGATTTTTCTGACACAAGCATTTTTCAAAAAAAAAAAAAAAAACCAACATAAAAAAATAGCACCAAAACCACAGTGGTAGAATAATTCTTATGATATTGTACCTGGCCATTTCCCAGCAGAGAAGTGTCTTCTCCCATTAGAAGATACGAGCCATAAAAGAAAACAAATGCATGAATGAAGCCCAAGACGGTCCAGTAAAGAAAGGGTTTAAACCCCAGATGGGCATTTTTACTGATGTCTCTGCAGAAACAAAACAGATTTGGGATTTCAGATTGTCTTTATATAAGCCATCAGCTATTCACATCACATGCCTGCTACTGCTTTGAATAAATGTAACTTTTGACTGCACCAAGATACACTTAATGAATGCTGACATATGAAAAAAATGCATAAATCATGGGCAAAAAAAGAACTCTGAGCTCTCGTGATTTGCCTCTGCTTTACACAGGGATCACCAATGGCAAGGGTCTCCAACGGGTCACATTCAGAACGGCACAAACTAGAGTTGTTCTCCCTGGAGGTGGAAGTGCAAGAGAAGAAAAAGCCAGATCTCCTGACACTTGCCCTTTGTTCCGCTTGAAAGATCTTTAGGAAAAGAGAAACTTCTAAGAGACATCTCTTTTTTACAAAAATACATACTTTTTTTTTTTTCCCCTCCGAAAAGCAGTATGCAGTGCAACACGCTGCCACTGGGAGGACACCCAGTTCTACAGGAAATCACTTGCCCTCTTTGGAAAGCATTTTTTTGGTGGTGATTCCCCTAATCACCGTGTCCTAGTTCTTCCTGTGCGTGGCAGAGATTTTCACCTCCTCCCTGTAAGGCAGGAGAAAGCTGCCAATCCTGTGAGCTGACCAAGCACTCAATTCTCCTCCAATCTCAACACAACTGACAGAAAAAGATGCTTCTTTTACAGCTTTACAAAGCTGTATAAAATACCCACGTCAATTAACTTTCAGGATGAAAACTACGGAGCTGCAGTTCTTTCCTTGACAAGTCAGTTACTAAGAACTGCATAAATTACAGGTAAAAATACCGCTGGAATGTGTAATATCAAGTTCAGACTTCTGCAGATGCCTCTGCTGTTTAAATTATGTGCTACTGTGACACTATATGAAGCTGTACGTACCGATACAGCACAGGTTTGCTCTGTAATACATGCGGATGCACATGCTGTTCAAAAAGACTGTATATGAGGACAGGCAAGGAAGTGAAACAAATATTGTACAAAGTCAGGTATACACTGTCATAGAGCGTCTGAAACAGAAAGAAAAATTGTTTTGAGTCTTGATAACAAAAAAGCTTATATTAAAATTTATTAGCACGCTAATAGCAGCAATAAATCATTAATTACGTGAATTTACTAGTTAGATAAAAAGCTATACACACATAACCATCTAGTAAGACCAAGCTATCAAATATAGAAAATAAAACTGGGTATTTAAGTGTAGAATCTGTGCTGCTCCTGTGTAGTTCATTCCCATTTTCTGTAGTTATTTACCCAGAGTGTTTCACACACATTTACCAAGGTGCGAGGTGTCCAGTACTTACTTGTTGTGAAAACAAACAGAAGAACTGATATAAAAATTGTGGTGTAATAAAGCACACATTCTGAAAAAAGAAAAGCAAAGGAAACAGTTAATCCTTAGTATATGCCTAAAAGAAACCGCTAAATGTAAAAGAAATTACTAACTCTTAACAAGCTGTAAAAATACAGAGGGAGAGGATAAAGCATTTCAGGGTTGTGCTTGGCAAAGTGAAATAACGTGCTCTGCGTGAGAGCACATTCTGTTTGTCCTTTAGGACAACGAAGCTGAAAAATATAAACTTGATTATATGTGCTTGATGAACACATCTCATTATGGGAGTATATGTAGTGTTACAGAGGAGGAGAAATCCATCCTTTTTCCCCTCAGCTCCTTTTTAAGAATTTCTTTGCAAAATAGTTTCCGTATTTCATTCCAGAAAGCCTGTGTCCAGCTGATGGGAGCAAACAGAAACAAACCCCCACACCCAACCCCATGCTCTTATCTGGAAATGAGAGCAACCAACAGAAGAGGAAAAGAAAAAAAGTAGCCAGTATTAGAATCTCAGAAAATTTCAAGTAGGATAGTGGATTTTGACTTCTCAAAACTGATGATCAAGTAAAAAAAAAAAAAAAAGAGGAGAGGAAAAAAGAGAAAAGGAAAAAAAAAACCCCTACACAAACTCACTGTGGCGTTAAACAGCCATTTCCAGGTGGAAGCACTACACAGTTTCACAGTTAAACCACTGTACTCGGTTGAAAAATAGCAAACAAAGCCCAGAAAGCACGTTTGAACAGAGATATTTAACCTGTTGCCAACAAAAATGTTAGATCTGAAATGAATTTCTTGCTGGGAAAGTCACACATTTTTCTGGGAACGTGAAGACTTACCTTATAAAAAAAGTACTGTACAAGGGTTGCTATTCTAATATAGTAAAAGTGCCCATGAACAAAAAGCAACTTGGAGAGGAATTTAAACCGTGCTATTGCATAGTCACTGTTTCTCACAGCTTGTCTTCCTTCCTTGCCCATGATTCCTGCCATATTTGGGAAATAAAACAGAAAACAAGTTAAACATTATAAAAATTAAAAGTTTAAACCCCCCCCCAACCACATACATCTGAAGCTACAGATCTGTTTTCCTGCACTTCAACATTATAATGACTTCAGCATCTTTCAGTTCCAAATGAAGGCGTTATTCCCCACACAACTTCAGGAAACTATTCATTTGATGGCGAGTCAAGTTAAAAAATAATAAAAAAGACAGACAAAGGACTATTTCCATAAGCCATTCTTCAAAAATATTTATGGAAAGACACAGAGATAATAACACTCAAGACCAACTCAAAACCAAAATTCCCAAAACATTATCAATGCATCATTAATTATCAATTTACTTACTATGTTTTGCTTCAGAGAGGTTTAATGGTGGTTGTGGCCAGATAAAACAATATAAGCAGAGGAAACTACCACGCTTAGCTGAGAATCAATAACAGCCTCTCAAGAGCTACAATGAAAGCCTTCTCCTCCAAGACAAGGTAGACACAAATGGCATTTCTACAGCAGTACAGACATGGTGCCAACAGCGGCAGGGTAGCACAAAGAAAGGTTGGAAGGTCAAGTTTCCACAGGAACTTAGAACCCAACAATGTCTGAAGTCAGATATTTCTAACTTCCAGTACCTGAAGCAGAGTAATTCTGAGACTCCAGCTACAGAGCACCTTTGCTGCTCTTAAGGCAGCATTAAGCAGGACCTGTGATCATTGGTAGATGACACAACAGACCTACAACCTGTGAAAGCCAACAGCCTTCAGTTTTAAATGTCACTAAAACTCTGTCCCAAGAGATGACTCAGATTAACATCCTCTCATTCACAGGTGCAAAAAAGTTAGAAGTTCACCTGTTTATAAACACTATTCATGACCTAATCCTCTACTACACTTTGCACCCCATTTACCTATGCCGACGTGGGCCTCTTGTATCATGCTCACGTCGTTAGCACCATCACCGATGGCCAACGTTATAGGTTTCTCTGGAGACGTTTTTAACAGTCGCACTACCTGGGGAAAAAGAAAAAGGTAGAAATGTTTGAATTAGGCAGATAATCTATCTACAGGCCATGCCTCTCACTGCTGAGTCTCTTGGTTACCTACCTGTGAATGTAATTACTGGGTAACGCTTGGGTAAAACACACCTTCGGCGTATCCCATGTGCAAATTCAGTGCTCCTTTAGAAAAGCTGCTTGCTTTGGGGCACAAGCCTTATTTAAATATCATGCCTGACTTGAGCTTAATTTGCAGCTCATATTTAGATGTTCTCTCACAACTCAATTTGTGCTTTATCATGCAAAACAGTCAAGTAGAAGATGGAACTGAATATTTACTCAGGGAGTAAGTACAGTAGAATATCCAAGGCAGGGCTGGAATGAACTGCAATACGCTTCCTTCCCTGCCCCTCCCTCCCCCCCGCCTGCATGCTGTTTGTTTCAGAGATTTATAGACTTCAGTGTTTAAAATTAAAAAGTCACTGCCATCAAAATTAGGTTTTACTGTACTTCATGACAAAACACAGGAAATAATGGAGATTATCCGCCAGACAGGATAAGAATTAAGGAAAGCATTATTGGCTGCTCTCTGCCAAATCTGGCAGTACAAAACAAACTATAAATCCAAATAAAACTATAAATCAAGTTAAATGACAAAATAAGAACAAGGACACAACACAGGCAAATAACTGCACCTTAAAGAGAGGGGATGGCAAGAATTTCAGCTAAAAAGAGTGTACGTAAGGTGGACCCATCCAATAAATTGCTTTTCTCACAAAAGTCACAAACAACTTAATAGCTTCAATTAAATGGTAATATTACACTAAGTTTTACATACAGCTGAGTGAAGTGGTTCTGAAGACTGCATTAAAATGCCTAAATGTTGGATGCAGGAAGAGTGGCCTCAAAACATGTCCCTCACGCTACAGTAAACCAGCCTGCTCTGTTCTGCACATCTAGGACCTCACATAACCGTTTCCTACCGCTTTAGGGGAAAAAGATGTCTTTTCCTTTTTTTTTTGACAAGGTATAAGAAGAAGAGTGGGAACCAGTGTCCTTTCAGAGGTTTAATATTACTGGAAATACATGTAAAAAGCCCTTAAAGCATAAAGATAAGCTAAAAGTATAGTAAATTTACAAATACTCCAATAGTTATACAATTGAATATTAGTCCAAAAAATGAAGAGAAGCATAAAATGAAGAGAGATCATTTCAAAAGGAAAGAAATAATATAGCTCTTCAGATGTTAGCTTTCTGGAGTAAAAAAAATAAATCGCAAAATCTGAATTTGATTTTTATCTGATCTGTATTTGAGTAAAATTTAGTGTGAAGGAAAAAAAACATCTTAGCAGAGAACATTAAGGCAAAACTTCCCTGGAGACTCGGCTTCAGCTTCCCTTCTACTTCCTCCTCAAATGTGGGTATTTCTTAAATCTTCAGAGAGCACATGTTTTCCCTACTGCTTTGTGAATTTTCAGTTTAGCTTTTTTGGTGTGGAGAAGCAACAGGACAGGCACTGCAGGCAGGTGATGGGGATCGCTGCTGATGATTAAAGATGAGCTTTTTTCCTGCACGGTGGCAGGATTTTGACTTTCTTCTCCACCCACTTGCAAATTTTGACAAACTCACGTAGAAACTTCTGAGGAAACTACTCCAGATGAACAGGATTTAACAAGGATGCCAAAAGTCACACAAAGCAAGCAGTTCCAGGAATCCTTGCCTCCTCAAAGCATGATAAACACACCTCCCAGACAGTCCTGATTATCCTCCCCCTCACCTTTGCTTTCTGAAGGGGTGCCATGCGACAGCACAACACTGCAGAGCAGTTTTTGCAAACTTCCATGAACAGTTTTTCATGTTCCCTGAGTGCAAGAGAGAGGCTGGTCCCGTCCACCACCAGGCCGTGCTGGATGACATGGTCTTCCTTTATTCTGTTGGGGGACAAAAATGTTGGCTTTGTATTGGTGTGACTGAAAAGTTTAAATTTCGTCATGAGCTATGCAGTTGCCCAAACAATAAACAAAGAAGTTAGCCTGTTAGGCTGCTTCTTCAAGTCTGTTGATACATTAATAAACAGATTTCTAAAAAGGCAGCTTCATGCGTTTGGCACATACATCAAAGAAATCGTCCTAAAATTTGAAAATAAAAGATTAAGCTAAGGTGATTGCTAAGATAGGGACGTCTGGGGTGCTGTACCTCTTGGCGAGCTGCCTCAGCTGCTCCGCACACGTGCTGTCTGACTTGTGCTGCACGAGCTCCAGGATGTTCATGGTCCTGTGGAAGTGGCCACAGGACAAACTGACGCTCACGGCCGTCTCGTGCTTGTCTCCAGTGAGCACCCACACCTTGATACCGGCCAGTCTCAGGGCTTCGATGGTTTCTTGGACTTTCTCCTGCAGTCTGGAAAGAAAACAACAAAAAAAATTTTAAATAACCGATCAAACACTAGACCAAAAAACCAGAGCTCCCACTGTAACTCCTGTGACCCCACCGTCAGGGTGATTTAAGACTGAACTGCCAATATTACAATATTACATCCATTTCCAGGGAATCACAGTCTGGCAGATGACATTCTGTTAACAGCAACAGAACAAAGGCCTCGACGAAACAAAAACTGAACTTCAATGCTGCCAAGTGATCAGAGCTTTGTAACAAGCACATCTTAATTTAAAGTCAGGCACCATTGCTGAGAAATTTTAAAACAGTCCACAACAATGACCATCTATGTGGTAAATGAGAGGCTTTGAAGTGCTCCATCAGTACACTCCTGTGTACAGCACACCCTCTGACTGACAGAATGCCTCAGAAAGCAGCTATGGATGGAGGTTTTCCCAAGGAATTAGCCTAAATATTTCCCTAAATATTTCCTACAATTATTCTGTTTCACATACATTAGGTGTCTCCTGATGAAGCACACTATGTGTCAGCGTTATCAAGCCAGAATCAGTTGGCACAACACGTGGTTTGAACGCTCCCCAAGCCCAAGAGCAGTGAACACACTAAACAAGACCAGCACACAACTTTTGGTGGTGGTAGGAGAGTATTTCACGGCACACATCATACTTCAGTTACAAATCCTAAACTCGCTATGGTTTTGAGCATAGTGAGCAGAAACTCCGTGGCATACTTGTCTTCTACTCCTGTAGCCCCAAGTAACTCCAGATCCCTCTCTATGAAGTTGAACACATCTGCTAATCTCTCCTCCCGTTGCTGTAAGGCAGTCCTGGCCTCATGCAGGCGTTTGCCAACTTCTTGGTACTCCTCGGGTGTGAATCTTCTGTAGGCCACGCACAAAGTCCTTAGTCCTTTCTGTGAGAAAATAAAAGACTACATTCAGCGTAGACGAGATTCTGACCTGACAAGGTGTCACCTGCAATTTGTTCACTTTGAGCCCCAGAACTTGTACTGGAAGAACTTCCCTCCCGTCAGCTGAGCAAACACACTCACCAAGGCAAATTCATCCACGTGTATCCTGGTCTTGTCTATTTCTCCACTCTTACTACGAGGAAGAATGGAAGATTCTGCTCCCTTTGTGAACAAAAGCTTTTCCCCTAAGAAGTACAACAGAACAGACTTTGAGAACACCCACTATTTAAGAAGTTCTCAACTGCAGCTTGTGCAACTTCTAGGCGCTTACCTGAGGGACTCTCTACAATGACACTCATCCGTCTGCGATTCGGATCAAACTCCAAAACATGAAGCAATTTATACCTGTATTTTGTGTTTTAATAGAAGAGGGAAGGGGAAGAAAACATTTTTAAGGGATAAATTTCCAATGACTTATAAATACACACTTACGCCATAGAGCTTTCCCCAAAGTGTCAGTTTTATACAGGAACTCTAAAAGCAATGCCATCGCTGTCGAGCAACAACCACTGTTATGAGGGTTCGTGCAGTTCATTGCTTTTCATCACTTCTATACATTTAATTCCATTCTATAAGAATAAAAGGTTCTTCTACCAGTAGGAACAGTTCCTTGAGGATGAGCTTTACGTCTGGAGTTTACAATCAGCTCCTACCTATTCCTTTATCCTTCTGTTATTAGTTCAGGTGTAACTTTGAAAACTACAATTTATTTCTAACACTTGTAAACAATCTACAGAGTTAAAAAAAAAAAAGTATGTGTTTCCTGATGACCAGGAAATAGTATTTTTTGTTACGTTACCACTAGTTTAGAAAATTAACTTCAGACATTTAAGCTTGAAGTACTGCCAACTGACACAGATCAGGTGGAGAAAACGTGCTATGACATACCACAGACAGACAATTATCAGTAATATTTCTGCTCAGTTTGGGGAAGTTTAAAATATATAATTAGATTATGCGTACACAAGTGATTCTGGGAATTTGTTGAACTTAAAGCACAAACTCTAAGAAAAAGGAGCACACTGTGGAAAGGCAAGGTTTTCTTATGAACAGAGAGGATTAAGAAAAGAACATGATATTGATCTTCACTGCAGTTCTGTACTTCAAAAGAACCAAGGAATAACAATGGGTACCTTTCTGGTTTTCCGAGACTTTTTACTTCCATACTGTCCCCAGTAGTTCCAGTAAAAACTACTCCAACCCTGAAAGGAAAAGAAAATAAGCATTTAATCATTAGTTTCAACATAACGGCGATTGTTTGAGGGAGGGGGAAGAAAATAAAAGAGAGAGATTCTTATACCCCCCATTACTGTTCTCTGTTTCTAGAGAAAATGAAGAACGCCCACTTTCTCCAGTATTTTAATAGCAACACACTCTGCCCCCTGTAATTTCTCAAGGGTTTGCATTAACATTTGAAAACCCTAAGCACATTATAAAGTGGTGATTTGTGTACCTTGTTTTTGTGTGTTTTCATACTAAACTGACAGTGCCAGGCCCTGGGGCTGTACAATCTGAGTGATTTCTGAGGTTGCCTTTACTGAATTTCACTGAATTTTTAGAGTTGGAAGGGACCATAGAGATCATCTAGTCCAACTCCCCTGCCAAAGCAGGACCACCCAGAGCTTGTCAGAGCATGTTACTCAGGAGCATCCAGGCGGGGCTTGAAAATCTCCAAAGAAGGGGACTCCACACCCTCCCTGGGCAGCCTCTTCCAGGGCTCCCTCACCCTCACCGTGAAAAAGTTCTTCCTCATATTCAAGTGGAACCCTTTATGTTCCAACTTGTGCCCGTTGCCCCTTGTCCTCTCACTGACAACTACTGAAAAGAGTCTGGTTCCCTCCTCCCTCAGCCCATCCTTGAGATACTTGTCAGCATTAATAAGGTCTCCCCTCAGCCTTCTCTTCTCCAGACTAAAGAGTCCCAGCTCTCTCAGTCTCTCCTCATAAGGGAGATGCTCCAGTCCTTGAATCATCTTTGTAGCCCTACGCTGGACTCTTTCCAGTAGTTCCCTGTGCCTCTTGGACTGGGGAGCCCAGAACTGGACGCAGGATTCCAGTTGTGGCCTCACCAGTGCAGAGTAGAGGGGGAGGATGACCTCCCTTGACCTGCTGGCCACGCTCTTCCCTCTGCAGCCCAGGATTCCGTTTGCCCTCCTGGCCACAAGAGCACACTGTTTGCTCATTGTCATTTTGTTGTCCACCAGGACCCCCAGATCCTTTTCCTCAGAGCTTGTCTCCAGCAGGTCCATGCCTAACCTGTATTGATGCCTAACATTCTTCTTCCCCAGGTGCAGGATCCTACACTTTTCCTTGTTGAACCTCATGAGGTTCTTCCTTGCCCAGGTCTCCAGCCTGGAGACCCGGAATTTCCTGCCCATGGAGGCAGTTCCTAGGCTGGTGAGTTCTGGGAGCCCCACTCACCGGCTGGCAGCTTCCACCAGGGCTTTCTCATCCGGGGAGGAGGCGTAATACTCCAGCGTGGCCGGCGACCCACCACCGTGCCAGGGCCCGTCAGCGCCGTCGCTCTGATCCGCACTGATCTGCACCGTGTGACACAGACACACCGCCTTCAGGAACAGCTCCTCCTCTTTCATCTGGAACAAAGGGAAAAAAAACACCTTCATATATAACGTTTGTAACATTCAGGTATCAACCCACTTTTAAACATATTTTTAAAGTATGTTTTTAATCGAAAATCTGCCAAGTATTCCATGTTACACAATCACATCTCAATGTGTTTAATAAATATTATTTATTCTGTAACACTTAGTAGCTTCAAACTATTCAAAAAATCTGTTGGTTTTTTTTTGAAGCATGCTGATGCTGGAAGTCTGTTTCTCTGAAATAAAACACTTTCTATCTAGGATGCCTAATGAGGGGGGGAAAAAAAGTCTTACCAAACTCTGCTGATTCAGAAATTCTAATTTTTTAAAACATGCTAATGCTAGAAGACTATTGCTCTGAAATAAAACACTTTCTATTTAAGATGTCTAATGAGGGGGAAAGAAAAAAAAAAAAGTCTTACCAAACTATGCCTATTTCCATCTGGAGAATCTTCAGAAAACCCCTCTGGAGTCAGTTTACCATTGACTTCTTGGTACTTTATGCCATTAATGGAGCACTCCCGAAACTGCATCTCGTTTTCAGTTAACGTACCCGTTTTGTCTGTAAACACGTACTCCACCTTTTGTAAAATAAAACCAAAACCAGACTTGGAGTTGCACGTACTTGTCAGAAGGAAAAAAAAAACCAACCCCCAAACCAAAACCGTCAACTCACACCATCCACACCCTTTTCTGATCGTGTAAAAGTTTTAACTTCCACCATGAGATATTTATACCTTACTTTCAAATTAATCACAAATCAATGTGCAACCAGGAATAAGTCTGCAGTGATAAATTTTAATATTAAAAAAGAGGTAGAAAATTGAAGGTTAAAAACAAAGGAAGAGAGACTGTAACTTTTACTCTACCTGTCCCAGCTCCTCGTTGAGGTCTGAAGTATTCACTTGCGCTCTCTGGTTTGTTTCTTCATGATAGAGGTCAAGATCCCAGCCAATAAAAAAAGATCCCAGAAACTTCTGCATCTCAACAGTCACATAAAGTGAAATAGGTATGATGAAATTGTAGAGTACCAGAAAAGCAAGAAAATCTGAAATAAATCGCAGGATCTACAAGAGAAAAAGAGAAAATGTAAAGATTACTGCAGGGATCTGGTGAAACATGTTTTCTTAGTCTCAATGGGTATGAAAAATGAAAAACTGAGAGGCAGAGGAGACGAGTCCCACGTACAGATGAGAGACACCACAGAGTGACAACACAGGCACTTCCAGTTTGGCCCAGTAACGCGCCTTCAGACTGATGCAAAAAACCTGCCTTAAGCTACAGCTGGATGTTTCCATCCGCAAGTTCATTAACTCCTGTTCTTTCTACTGACTCTGCCGGGAGGGCTGCAGGTAACATTAAATGTCACGGCGAGGCTGGTCTCCAACAGGGCTCTTGAAAGAGGTCTGAAAAAACCATCCCATCAACCAGCCCCACTCCCAGGCTTTCCTGAGGAACATACATGGTGCAGGCAAAAAATGTGTATTCTGTCTCATCAGAGGCACCTGGAAGTGCTCTGGAGAGGGTGAGGAGAGCTGGGTGACAGGGGGTTCCTCTCTGAGGGCCCTCCCCAGGGACACGGGTGACCCAGACTACGTGACAGGGAGACATGGGGGTTTCCCCAGCCCAGACTCCTCTCACGCCTCTTCACATCATGGGATTTGACACACACCTTTTGGGTATGTAACAGCAGAGAAATTCCTCTTTATTGGGTGTGACAATTTTAACAAACTCTGAAGTGCAGCATTAGAGTCTCTTTGAACTCTCTTTTTCATTCGCACAAACCCAGTATCTAAATTGATATCTAAGTTGATGGTTGGACTAGATAATCCTTAAGGTCCCTTCCAACCTAGACAATTCTATGATTCTAAATTGCACGTTGGGAAGACTCTCACCAATACTTGAATACTGAGCAAGGGAGAGGACAGATGAGAAAAACTGGGACATCTCTTCCAACTCTACCAGATATTGATGTAGGAAAACTTTTTGAAGAAAAGGAGTATAGAAGTAGTCAACAGTTTGCAAAGCTAAATGTTCTTCCTAATTAGGTAGTTTTGCTATAATTACTTATAAAAGTCAGTATCAAGAACTAAGGTGTCTGACAAAAGCTCTGGAAGTTCTGTGCCTTCAGAGATCCTCCAAATTAAACTAGAACAGGAAAATTAACTGAAAGCAGTAATTCATGTAAGAGAATGTCAGTGGGAGAGGGAAAAACGACGACATGGTAGAAGGAAAGTGACATTGCAGAAACACAGACAGCTCTGGAGGCTCCTGAAGGCAAAGGGAAAGGAATAAAGTCTGAGTAGATATTTATCCCGATTCTATCTGGAACTGGAAAGGCTCCCCAGGGCAGTCTGACTTATACTGCTACTACTGCAACTTCAGAGAAACCAAGAATTTACCTGACTGACCACTTCAAACAGTGGAGAGTGCACTAAGTGGGTGCAGGTACTAAAAATAAAAGTCACCAAACAATTCGAAAACTTTCAAATTCATTTAGTACTTTTCAATGGTGACACTTCTAGATAAGATTCTTTTAGAATACGTTAAAAAGTTCTCGATAACTGTAGTGATAATCTGAATTAATAATTGTAAATAAAGCAAAGCATTGAGATATTTTTTCCCAGCTAAGCCACAGACATACTTCACAGGACAAGCTTCTGAGAAAGCTGCACGTTCTACTGAAATGCTAGTGAAGTCTCAACTCTCCCTGAATCAAAGACATTCTCCAATTCCTTCTCCTTCCTTCCTGAACCACTAGGTACCAACCCTATGTTTCACTCTTCTTACGAAGCAAAGCAGAACTCTCCTGACTTCTCATTTAGACTTTTTTACACACATGGCACCCAGTGACTGCATTCAATTCTCAGCTCTCTAGGACACAGAGATGGTGGGTGTCAAACATCTGACACCACATCACATGTGGAAACTGGATTTCCAATTCTTCTGTGCTTTGAAAATCCCCTAGAGTTCTGAAAATCAGCCCCAACCAGCTCCTGAATCGCTTTGGAAGAAGGCAGAGTCATACAGAAATCAAGAATTAAGCAGAACACAGAAAAATACAGGGTGACTAAGACAGACACTTCTCACAACTGCAGACTTAAGGAGCACTTAACAGTATCCCTCCAATCTCTACAGGAAAGTGAGAAGGCAAAAGTGAGCTTGAGCAAAATCACAGCCTTACAAAATTGTCTGACCAATCTCAGCATCACAGAACGTCCAAAATGCCTGAACTGTGCAATCACTGCATGGAACGTGCACAAGAACAGCTGCCCTCCTCCTCTTCTCACTTCAGAAATGACAAAAGACACCCAAAAGAACAGTAACTACAATAAGAACATCAAAAACGTGTCCTAACAAACCCCAGCATTCTCAAAAATCTTGGTCTTTTCATAAAGGAAGAGAAGTCCTACCAGTAACAGAGGTAAGATATTTCTGCACAAGGATGAGGCTATGTGGGACTAACTCTCTTAAAAACACTGAGACAAGAACAGAGATTTGCAAGTGGGTCACGTGGCAGTTACACCTAAATCCCGGAATAGGGAAAAGGGATAATAGGGAAAAAGCAATATGACATTCAGTACATAGAAGTGAGGGTTCTGCAGATGCACAGCTGGGGAGAGCTGCCTTACCTTGCTGCTGTTTCTTTCGTGCTCCGTTTTTCCATTATACCAAGGCTCATCCCACTTTTCCTCAGCTTGCCACGCATACTTTAAAATAGTACTCAGAATGGCTTCAAAGAGGAGGATTATTAGATAAATAATCAAAAAGGAATTCATGGACCTACAAAGAGGCAAAAAAAAAAGCAACATCAGTTTACTTTGCTTAACCTTTTCAGACAGTGTGGTTACATGAATTGATCAAAAACGTATTGGACAATTTTATTTTTTTTTAGCAACATCAGTTTACTTTGCTTAACCTTTTCAGACAGTGTGGTTACATGAATTGATCAAAAACGTATTGGACAATTTTATTTTTTTTTAAATGTTTCCCATGTTTGAGATGGATAGAAGTTTCTACGTGACAAGCAAGTAACAGCAGTGAGAAGAAATCCCACCTCTGACTAAGATATACTCTACAGGTAGCAATACTGCCCCAGCTGACCTGTGTGTCCCCCCCAGTTGTCCACAATTCTGGAGCCTGCCTTCTCCTGCCCTGCCTGCAGATCTCACAGGGCAGCAGGGTACAAAGCACTGTGTAAACCCCAGGCTGCACCTCACTCTGCAGATAGACAAGCACTACCCTTTGCTTCTCATCATTTAGCCCAGGCCATGCCACGACTGGGATATACTCAAACCTACAGAATAGAAAGGCAATGCCTTTACAGGCATAAAGGCCAGAGCATCTTCCACCCCTTGCTGGGATGACTGAGCTTTTCCTGTGCACTCCACAGCTCTATTTGTATCTGGCTATAGAAGAATAATCTCTCTCATGTTTGCAAAAGCCTCCCAGAATTCTATCTCAGTTTCAGTAACTGGAATAAAGGCAATGTATCAGAACTACTTTTCCTTTTAAAATAATTCACGAGGTTCAATGTATAAATCTCTATTACAGTAACACTTACCCCATAAAGATTTTTAAAACTGAGCCCGTGACTTGTGCTAGAAGCAAGACCCAGTGCAAACTATATCCTTTAGACTATGTGAAAAGCAAAGCTATTTTCCATGCTATCAAATACTAGGATTCAGGACAAAGATTTGCAAGGAACAAAGACTTGGTTTCAACACATGCTCTTTAAAGGCATGGTGCAGTTTTACAGCAAACATGCACAAAGCAGCAGAGGCTGGGACTTTGGGGAAACTATCTCCAAGCATCTAGTTCCAGCTGCATTTCACCTATCATTAAATGACCTCCACATCTCAGAAACAAACCTACTGAATTCTGATACTGAACTGTCTTCTTCTGCTTTATTTCTATTTCAGCTTGAGTATTTCAACTTTATACACTACTGGTAAATCAACAAAGGATGAAATATCAAGAAACACATGTTATCTCTAGAGCTTCCTGCAAAGCAATTGCACTCTCTTCCCTTGCCTACAGCCCAGTGAGGAGAGCATCAGGGTTTTAAAGTTACCAAGGAAAAACTAAGTTAAAACTCTACAAATAAGAAGGATATTAGAAAATAAACATACTTTTCTACTGCTGACCGTTTCTGAGATTTACTCTTGTAATTTAGCTTCCTACTGACAGCAAAGCAATTGCACTCTCTTCCCTTGCCTAGAGCTTCCTGCAAAGCAATTGCACTCTCTTCCCTTGCCTACAGCCCAGTGAGGAGAGCATCAGGGTTTTAAAGTTACCAAGGAAAAACTAAGTTAAAACTCTACAAATAAGAAGGATATTAGAAAATAAACATACTTTTCTACTGCTGACCGTTTCTGAGATTTACTCTTGTAATTTAATGCCATCTTTGTCTCCATACCTGTATACACTGCAACACCTGGGGAGGAAGGTGAGGAAAAAAGAGTTACATTTTATTTTATGCAGATATACAATACAGAATTTTTCATTTTAAGAGACATGGGATAAAGTTGAAATGTGATATTACTTTTGTGTTTACTTCAGTACAATGTTTAGACAGGATTTGGTAAGTATTTGCATATTCTGCTGCAGTAAAACAGTACTACTGAAGTAATTTTAACACCTACTAAATCGCTGTTCGTTATTATGACTGTTCTGCTCTTCAATATGTATTTTATGGAAATCAGAAAGGTAAATCTCAGGAGAAAGTCTTGAACAATGGGTAACAGTAACAACAGTCATTTATCCATTGAAGTTAAGTTATTCCTTTATCAAACCACTTCAAATATTTTCATAGAGCAGAGCTGGAACTTTATATCCTTAGAGATTCCTCAGTGTAATATCATTACTTTCATCTATAATCATATCCCCTCAGGTAACACTCAGCAAGATTATTACAATTTCTTCAGCGCAAGTAGAATTAAAGCACAGTTCATTAACATGTTTTAAGAAGAGAATACTCTTTAAATATTTAGGTGTCTACAAACCAAATATTTCTTTAGTGTTTTTTAATCTTGCTCCACGAAGTAAGAGGCTTTCAGGCCCAAGAGGTCTAAAAAGAGATAGACATATTGGCATTTAGAAATTAATTGTTCTGTATTTTGTAGGATTAACAAAATCCAGTTTTCTATGCAAAGTTGTCCCACATCCCCCATGAATTCCCACCACAAGATCTCCAACCCCACCCTCACACAGGTCCATCTTCACTACTCTCTGTCAAACTCATCTACCAATTCAAAGCTATTCGTTGCAGCGAAACAACCAGATAGACACACCACACACACCCTTTCACTACCCTCTGTCAAACTGAAGTGATCTACTAATTCAAAAGCTATTCATAGCAGCAAAACAACCAGATAGACACACCACACACACCCACCCCCCAGTGCAAGTTCTGCTTCCTACGGCCAGAATAACATTTCATAAATGTTTTTTCCTCAGCCCTATGACACCACAATAATCCCTTCACTTCACTGGCCAAGTTAACTGTAACCAGGGCTGGGAAAGCAGAGCTCCAGTGAGAAGTGTGGTTCATACAAGGTCAGAGCTGCATGTTCTACTCCAGTGGCCGTATCCTCTTTAGGAACTGCCAGCACGGCTGGTTTGAAAGAAATAAAAGGAAAAGTGCATTTGCTATTTTTGCCGGTGTTTCAAATGAAAGCAGAAAGTGAGCAGCCCAGGCTGACCCACTGGGCAGAAGCAGAAGAATTAAAGATACACCAAGTGCTACCGCGAACAAGCCCCTGGGCTGCTCTCACCTTCCCAGAGGCTGTACCACAGGCACAGCCACCCTTACACAAACCAACCTCCTATCCTTGAAGGTCCGTTGAAAGCATAACCTAGAGCTACTCAAAAACACCCCCCAAACCCACACCCCACTTCCCACACTTAAATATTTAATTGAAATGTTACTACAAACGTGGCAGTTCCCATCACAAATCCTGCGTGCACAGTTACACACCTGGACTGTGAGAGGGTCTTTAAATTACACACATATATGTTAATATTTTAGGCTAGACTCAAACCTCAGCTGAACTAAACCAGACTAAATGATCAAGTGTTTTGTTGTATTTTTTTTAATAAGAAGCCTAATGTATACTTCTGGATTCATGTGCTTTTTGCAGTTTGTAAAACCAGTCTGAGAAGCCCCAAATCCAAGCTGGAATCAGTGCAGGACAGGCCAGACAAGCTGATCTTTGGCAGCCAGAAGACACAGCTCCCACCAGCAGTCGGGACTTGCCGCTGTTTTTCACACTCCCTTTAAACTGGCTCTGTTATTTGTTGTCAACTACATTATTTTGATAGACGATCCCAGAGCAGAACCTGTCAAGCTTGGCAGTAATGAATTCTGAAAAGTGCAGTAGCACATAAGGCGACCTTGAGAACAGCCCAGTGGGGTTTTGGAGGGGTTTGGGTGGGGTGTTTTTGTGGAGACGGCCAAAGCATTAGACCTGGGGCAAGTGACATTCCCGTAGCTTTTGTGACACCACTGACAAATCACTGCTTCACTCTGAACCCCACGTCGTCCCTGGCTAAACCTGAGAGGTCTCTGCCAGCATCAGGTTGAAGAAGCTGCAGTTCTTCAGACTGAAGGCACACATTACATGGAAATAATACTGCTGTAATATTCCATTCAGATAGGAACGGCACCAAAACCAAATAAAGAACTGTGTTAAGGATAATGTTTTGGACATTAGAAGAGGGAAAGAATCGTAAGATTTACCTGTTCCTGTGACACATTCAAAAAGCTGCAGTTCTTCTTCAGACTGAAGGCACACATTACATGGAAATAATACTGCTGTAATATTCCATTCAGATAGGAACGGCACCAAAAACAAATAAAGAACTGTGTTAAGGATAATGTTTTGGACATTAGAAGAGGGAAAGAATCGTAAGATTTACCTGTTCCTGTGACACATTTATATGCCATAACATAGCTCCTCACATTTTAAGATGAGGTGACCAAGTGTTTTGAAAGCTTGATTACCAACAACTCTCAAGAGGAAACAAATGCCTTGATGATATATACTGCTGACAATCTGGCCATTTCTTCCAAGAGATTTCCCTGTTGTTATTTCAAACCATGACCTTTCTCACTCCTGTTCTTCCTACTTTCTCTCCTGTTTTGGTGGGGGGAAGCGGATGAGCAGCTGTGGCTGCAACCTGGGGCCAACCCACCACAACTACCCATCCACATGTCGCTCTAAAAGTGCCTTCACATCTTTATTTTCATATTTTCACACATGTTTAGGTGAGTGCCTCTGGCAGGCAGGACAGCAGGGGGACAGGCTGTGAGCACATGATGACGTGCACTCAATTGTGTGTTGACTAGTGCAGATGTAAGCATTTCTCTTTACAGTTCAGGGAGTATGGTAGTTTGAAATATATACTAAAAACTACAAAATTGTTAAAACAGACCAATATCTTCTAGGAATTTCAACTGCAAAAACACCTGCTCAGTGCCTCTGATAAACAGGTAACAGGGGATCTGTAGCAGTCTATGTAAATCTGCTACTGGAAAACGCTTAAGATCAATAAATGTTTTAAATACCAAATAGCAACAAAGTCACCAGCTGATTACCAGGGGCTAAAAATTCCCCCCTCCAGAACCGCCTCGCTCTCCAGAACTGTCCCATTAAAGCTGAAAAACTGGATAGTAATGATGAACTTTCTAATTCTAATTTTTCTAATTTCTAATTTTTTCTCATTTCCATCTGAAGTACGTAGCTACAATCGATACTTTCAGTAAAAACACCCCTCCCTTTTGTATATTCAACAGTAAATATTTTTTTTGTGATGGTCGTGATTCTGACCACCTCTGTCAGTTCGAAACATTAATCTGGTAAAATTTTACTTACCGTACGATTTCTTCCATTTGTTGACTTATAGTTATTCTTCCAACAAATCTATAAAAGATGGCCATACATTAGAAATAGCAACATAAAGACTCAAAATGTGAAGAACTCCTCTATATTTACAAAAAGTTATTAACGGTTGACAAGTACAAAATAATCAACTTTTATTAACAATCAAACTAAAATGATGTGGTAACACTGGCAATTATTTTACAAGAGAGACCTAGGAACAGAAATATTTCTCCTTCAAAAGAACAGTCAGTCAAGAAAGTCCATTAGGTTTCATTAATAAAACCACAAAATATGTTTCTTACTTAGTTAAAACAGATTGTGACTTCCTGAAGTTTCAGTAAGAAATAATTCCTCACCAAACATAAATTAGCAAATTACCCATCAGAAATAGTAATTTTTCATTTAATGAAGCCAATCTACTCTGTTTTTAAAATCTGAAACTTGCATATTTACCACGACCACAACTACGAATAGGGAGATAAACTTCTCCAGTGATTGTACCTTAACTTGACGTGCTCTACAAACTCCAGTTCAAATATTTGAACAACTATTCAAACTACGTATCTTAGTTTTTAAGAACTTAATATTTCTCAAAGATCCCAATGCTTAGTTAAGAATAACTGGTGTGATACACTTGGATTTTGAAAACCACTACTTGACACAATTCAGCAGCAACTTGGCTGGGAATATCACTTTTGTTAGGTATGGTGCTGTGTTACAGGGACCAGGGCATTGCTTGCTGACTTCAGGTGCTGAAATCAGATGGTTTTAATCTGAATTTTTGCTACTGAAGAATGGAGTTTGAATCTCCTCTTGAGCATAAGCAAAATAAACGTGACCAACATATATCCTTGGGATGAATATAAGCTTACAACCACTTGCTCTGTTTTAAGTTAATTCCACTAAAAACCCCAACCATATAGTACTGAAATCTCCTGGCAGAGCCTTATGCAAGTCTTTCTCCAACCTGCTCAGACTCAGGGGCCATTCAACTTTCCAAATATGGAAACAAGTTTACTGGTTGGAACAGAAATGTACAAAATGTCATGATTAAAATGCAAAAGGCAAATATTATCCTGTAATTTTTGACTTATTACCGAAATGCTCAAATTTAACTTGTTGCATGCAACTTTCAGTAAGTACATAAGTATAAACACGCTAATTATTAAACCCTAAAATTGAAGCAGATGTCTGAAGCTATTTTAAACCAAGCAAGATCCGTAACATTCCTAATATTAGACACTTCATGTTGATTTAATTTCAAAATATTTGCTAGTAAAGGCAATACCTGTACAGATCTGCCTCTGGCTGCTGACACTCTATGACAGCTACAAGTTTGTCCAGGTTGGCAACAGACTGTAACACGGCTGTTTCTGGGACCGCGACGTGCGTCTGGAAAACACAGGTCATGAAGTTAATGCCACAGGACCACCGGGAGGGGGAGGGGGGATTTCAATGGGCTGAAATAAAAACGGCGTCGCAAATTAACGAGGCTCTATTTCACAGCAGAAACCCAGACCTTGAGGTTGGTCTCTCCGTCCAAACTGGCGGTGGTAACGTGGCACGAACCGTCGGCTCGATCGGAGGAGAGGAGCACCAGGTCAGCGGGGAAAGTCTCATCTTTGGCTACTCTGACAATGTCCCCCACCTGAGGAACCAAACACACGGAGTTTTACAGAAGAATAGTCCCCCTGTACTTGGCACTGGTGAGGCCTCACCTCAAGTACTGTGTCCAGTTTTGGGCCCCCTACCATAAAAAAGACATTGAGGTGCTGGAGCGGGTCCAGAGAAGGGCGACAAAGATGGTGAGGGGTCTGGAGAATAAGTCTTATGAGGAGAGGCTGAGGGAACTGGGGTTATTCAGCCTGGAGAAGAGGAGGCTGAGGGGAGACCTTATTGCTCTCTACAACTCCCTGAAAGGAGGGTGTAGAGAGATGGGGGTTGGTCTCTTTTCTCAAGTCACAGGTGACAGGACAAGAGGAAATGGCCTCAAGTTGCGCCAGGGGAGGTTCAGGCTGGATATTAGGAAAAATTTTTTCACTGAAAGGGTTGGTATGGTTTAGTGATGATGCTCCTTGTTTGTTGTGTGGGTGTCTATTTTTGTCAGTGAGGTTGACGGTTGGACAAGATGATCTTCAAGGTCCCTTCCAACCTAGAAGATTCTGTGATTCTGTGAATTCATCTCGGCATCGCTGCCCAATCATGATGGGACGGGCCACGGGGATTAGTGCTGAAACAAGAGCTTTAGCCCTGCACCAGCAGCCCAACTGTCCGTTTGTCCTCAGGCACGTACCCGAATGTTCTTAGATCTCGTTTTCACAAGGCCACCGCTCCGAACTACGTAAACTGGAGCTCCATTTACTTCATTGTCTGCTTTGTGTCGTAGCCAGTCTTCATAACCCTTCGGAAAACACACACAAATTTACTTCTTAAGCAAGAAACCTGTAAAGCATAACTAATATCTTCTAAGCAAATGTGCTTCAAATTACTTGCTGCAGAGCCTGAATAGTCACCGACTTCTGTGTTCTCCTGCAGCTGTTACTCAAGGGCCTGGGAAACCTCTTAACTTCCACCCACTTTACACTAGTAAGGAAAGGCAAATAAAGTAAGAAAAGCCGTGAGGAAACTTAACATTCCCATGCTCTGTTAAAGCAAACAGGCAGTGACACTTTCTGCAGATGAGATGAACTGCACTCAATATCTATACAGCCCTCTCTTCTCCAGACTAAACAGACCCAAAAGTCCCCCAGCCTTTCCTCAGCAGAGAGATGTTCTAAGCCCTTCATCATCTTTGTAGCCCTAAATGATCTCCGATGCCTGAGTCTAGGTACTGTCTGGAAAGCCCCAGGAACAAGCACAAGGAATGGATCTGTCTACACAAGAAATTCAACTGCCTCTTACACCCCAGCAAGGCTCCTACAACAGCTTTGCAATAACCCAGGCATTTCCTAAAATGCTTTTCTGTAGGTACAAAATAAGTGAAAGAATTAAAACCACTTCCTTGGACAGAAACAGCAGGTGCAATCCCAACTCATCCTAGACCACTACAAACATCATAGACATAGGTCATAACACAGAGAGCACTAGTGCAGGTGCAGTCTGGGGAATTCTGCGGTGCTCTGGAGTTTGGGGGAAAGTTGTACAATGAATTTAGCATGTTAAGAGTATAGCTTTGCAGCTCTACCCTCCTGTACCTCCAGTGTTACTAGCACAAATGAGTAAGGACAGCACAACTGCACTACCTAAATTCTAAAAAAAAAAAAAAAAAAAAAAGGAGGGAAGCTTTATATTCCAACTGCTTAAAAATAAATAATTTAGTAGTGTGCAGTAATAGCAGCCACACAGAGAGACACTGGGAAATCAGAATCCTAAAACCTCTAAATAAGGCTCTAAAAGTTCTTCCCCATCAGCATGAAAAAGCTGGAGTCAGTACCTCCAGCTCCTTGTTAGAGGTGACCGCCAGAAGGAAACAGGGATTTAACTAACACGCTGTAACCTTGGGGCGTTTGTCTCCCAGCCCTGAACAGCTGAGCAATATGGGCATTTGGCAGAGAGCTGAAGTTTCCCTTCTTTAGAAAGTACAGACTGCAGCGCTGGCTCCATCTGACACCTACTGCCCACACCACCGGGGTGACTCCTCACCCCAGGGGATTCTGAAGAGCCAACTTACTGTGCTCACTTTCAATCCTCCCAAAAGTTACCTACTGCGGCATTTTTGAGAGTTCCTTGTCCTCTCTTGCAAATATTGCAAAAATACTGTTAACAAGAAAGATGCAATATGAATACAGGGAACGTTGCTTAGCTGCATGAACAGAAACTAAAGATTAAAATCCCTCCATTAAATTATATTCTTAAGTCCTGACTAAATAACTGCATCGATGTACTTGAGAAAACAACAAAGTTAAAACAGGCCTGCATACTACATTACCAGGCTTCTCACTCTCAGTTTAGGTTTATATTCAATAAAACCTGCCAAGTAGTTGTTTCTAATTTACCTGACAGTTGTGTAAACATCTGTGTCCAACCAGCTTGTTTGCTAACTATATGAACTTATTGAAATGGACTAAGTTCCCTAAAGTTCCACAGGAACTACCTTTATTTTGTTCTGTGGGTTATTTTTAAACTTTAATTTTTGCTTTATTTGTCACTATTTTCTACCATTGGGCTGCTGGGAGGGGGGCACACACACCTTCCCAGGCACAAGGAGGAGAGCGCCCTGGCTGAGACAGCAGAAGAAATGACACAGCAAGAGCTGCACCACTTTGCGGTCTGCTACGCCCTTCTCCTGCCCTAGGTGCAAGTACACCTCCAAGAAGAACAAGTTCTGCCTCCTTGGCTGAGATAAAACAAGGCTGAGTGTTGAGGTTTGCTAGAAGTGTCACCTTAACTGGCCTTCTGGGGAGAGTTTTTCCACCCTCTGCCAAGATTCTCAAACCCGCATATGGGTTTGTGCTTCTATCCTTCCCCTTCATCCTTGCAGAGATTGCTAAATTAGAGTTTAACATTTATCCTGATGGAACTTTGCATAGAACCAGTCCCCTGCAGCTTTCAAAAGGGGCTCCTTCCCCTAAAAATCTGCTTCCTATTCCACTTTGAGAAGAAAATGGGAGCTGGTTTCGAGACCCTACTGGGATCTTCCCCTCTGTGTTCCAACAGAAGATCCTTCTCTCTGTCCTTGGTCACCTGGTGGCAGTGGCACACCGAGTCATCTTTCCAAGAGAACAGCTCAGGAATACTGCTCCCCTAATTCACAACAGACAGGATAAAAGAGGAGAGTCTGTTGGATCAGCTCAGGTGGTTCCAACAGTCCTTGCAGAGATACAGAGACACCAAGAAAAACTCCTGGTGCCTGCCAAGTCATGAATGATTTGAAACTTCTAGAAGGAATGTCAGAATCTCTAGTCTTTGCAATTGATGGTAAGATACTTAAAATTTCCCACTGTAAGACTGGGCAGCTGGAGACAAGGTGGTAATAGATTGATTTGGACTATTTTAGACTTATACAAGTCCAACCTCTTTCTGGGAAAAAAAATAAATCTAGTATTTATAACCACGTTGCACAATCTTTCTCAGTTCACATCACTTTAAGGGCTATGTTCCATTGCCTACCCGTGACTATAGCCTTGAACATGGAATTTTTTGGGGGTGATGGTAACAACTGCAATCAAATAGTATTGGGACACTACATACATAAACTGCCCAGCAACAAGATGAAACGTTAGTTCAAATATTACTCCAGTATTAAGAAACCCTCAGCCCCAAACACCCTTCTACCTGCTTGAAAGCTACAGCTATTTTTATTTTTGCCCTATTTTGGGGTGGCTTTGGGTCTTACTGGCACAGCAAACAAATTGAAATTCCAGCTGTAGCTCCGGAACAGTTTCCTGCTTACTTTTCAGCTGCTCTGACTGCGTCTCCTCCCCAGACAGCGCTGTCAAACCCATCCAAGGGGATCGCTGCTGAAAACTACTGCCCTGCAGAAGACATTATAGTTTCTATCCACATCACTGCTTTATTTATGTTCTTGTTTCTTCCTCCTCTTGCTTTAAGGGTTTAAAGAAAGCAGAATATTTTTTTTTCTTCTTTTTTTTCTTTCCTTTTTTTTTTTTTTTAAACATTCTCCTTCCAGGGTCTCTAGGTCTTTGTGGGACATAGTGTGGTGCTTGAACAAGATTTCTATTTAACTCATGCTTAAGACAACTTTTTTCTTACTTCAGGTGATATAAAGCACTCCCAAATATTTTATGCAACCAAAGAAAAAGAAAACAAAACCAGATGCTTTCTAAACCAGACCTTTCACTTGTACAGGATTACAATTAACATGTATTTTACACCATGAAAGGCAGTCCTTGGGGCAAAATTTGCCTTTTAACTAGTGAGAAGCAGGGATTGCACCATGGCTTCCTCAGCTCCGCTGCCAGTGAGTGAGAGGGGAGGAGTGGCTTCACCAGGCAGCGAGGTGTGCCAAGGGAATCAGCCAGGAGCTTGCTGAAAAGCTCTTACACCAAGTGACATGTGCTGTGAGACACAAACGCTGGCTGACAGTCACTCACTGCCCATCGCAGGGCATGGCAGTGACTCACCCAGCGCCTGACAGCCACCCAAAAACTCCAGCTCCAGCCTCTAACGAAAAACACAAATACAAAATCCTTTCTAAAAACAACACCTTCTTCATTTTGGTATCCAAACATTATCTCGCTCAGACTTTGTTAAGTAACTTTCCCTTAGAATGATTTCATGCTACAAGATTTTTTCCCCTTTACCTGTTTTATGGCTGTCACAGTTATGACAAAGAATAATGGCAATCCACTGGTGATGGGACTGGTAGGGGTATCGATCATGAGCTAAAAGAGAAGGAAACGTGAAAATTAGTCTCAATTTTATTTTTACAACTGCACTTTCAAAAAAAAAAAAAAACAAGCAACAAACCCAGTGAAGCAAGATAACAACTATTTTCCAAGCTCCTTATTATAGCCTGTATTTTTGCTGCACTTTCTGCAGTATTTCTAGAGCAAAACTCAGTTCCTGACACCAAAAGAATCCACGGCACTAGTGATGCAAACCAAGGTTCTAGGGCATAGAACGGACTGCAGCACGTTTGTAAAGCATGTGCCAATTTCTAAGAGTCCTTAGTCAAAGACATGTATTCATCCTCCAAAAATTAATTCAAAAATATATTAGAAAGGAAGGAAATGTACATTTTGTGAAAGTGTTTTGATATTCGATGCAATCTACTGCTTAACAGCAATGTGGAGTCGAACATCCACCTCAGAAGTGAAAATTAAGTTAAAAAATAGTAATTTCCAACGGTCTAGGTATTAGAGAACACTCTAAGACTGCTCCTTTCTGGTTCCCCCAGGTTAACATGCAGTTCTGACAGTCTGTGCAGTTACTGCTGGCATGCCAAAGGTGCAGTGGAGAGACTAGAGTTCTGGATGTGGGGGGTGGCAGTGGTTCTCCTCTGCCTCGGGGAAAAACCAACACGTTCAAGTGCTGTAAAGAAAATATACACAAGAACTGCTCAAAACCACAGACACTGATTGGATCCACTTTACCTGAGACTTATGGCATTGCTGTGGGAACCGTTAAAGAAGGGGAAAAAAATAAATCATACATGAAGTTTACTCTGTTAAGAGCCAAGAACCTGAGAGAAAACAGACCATGCCACCTTACACACACGCATGACATACTGAACTTTGTTTTCCCCCACAGAAAGACAGACAATTTATAGAACACAACAAACATCAGCTCTAGCCTGCAATATTGTCTGGTCTTCAAGTGTAGCATTGCAATTTCAGCTTGGCAACACGATGCCCAAGCAAACCCATGCCAAGAGCATCTGATTTTTGGCTGGACAGCATTATCCACAACATTTCTGCCTTCTCCACTCTCTCCTCCTTCCTCAAGAGAGGCTGACGTGAAAACAGAGCAAGTTTTGTGCTCATGGAATTGTCGCAGCAGCCTGCCTCTTGGGAGTTGGACTATGGTCCCTTCCAACTCTAGTTATCCACAACATTTCTGCCCTCTACACTCTCTCCTCCTTCCTCAAGAGAGGCTCATGTGAAAAGAGAGCAAGTTTTGTGCTCATGGAATTCTCACAGCAGCCTGCCTCTTTTCCCCTGTTGGGTTCCCAGTAACACGGACACACAGACAAGGATTTCCCAGACAATTTAGGGCATCCACTGGAGTTGTGGGCTGAGAGAACAGGATTCCACTCTGAATAGAAGTTCTACCGTTACATCCATATTTGTTCATAGACATCACATTTAGGTATTACTGAAGCCTAACATTTTGAAAGGAATGTGATTCAAAATGGAACTATAAAGAGGTAAATCTGCATTATAAAGAAATGTAAGCTTTAAAAATGCAACACCATCTGTGATTACTTTAAGTAATATTTATCTCCAGCATACCCCCAACTTCCTCATGCTACACTATGTCAGACAGCGTGAAACACCATCCCAGAATGACCAAGTCAATATTCTGAACTATGAAGATGGGATGGGCAATGCATCCCGTTAGACAAAGGTAGAACTATCTGACTTTAGTAACTCCCAACACAGGAATTTTCAGCCTATTGGGAAGTTTATGCTTTCTGAATGTAAAAGAACAAGAGCAAGGGACACAGGAGACAATGGATTAAAACACACAGAACTGGTCTCACTACTGACATCTTCTTAACGTAATTCTTATGTCATTTAACCAAATAAAGTGGAAATGTGTTGTTTTTATAGACAGAATTTGTAAGTAGAGAAGTTAAATTCATAGAACAAAAATCAGTGGCAGAATTTATAACATGAATAATACCCAGGAAAGTGCAATTTAACTTACCTGAACCAAAAATATAATCAGAAAATAAAAGTTGGCTACTCTTCTAAACTGCTCAAATAAGTTTTTGGGAACAAAATTCCACACTGTGTGCTGAGGGGAGAGAGGGAGAGAGAGAGAGAGAGAGAGAGAGAAGAACAGTTATGACATACTGAACAATTTTTGAAGTGAAATGCAGTTCTGCTCCCATTAAACTCTCTTAACCTAAATATTTTCATTTCCCATCTCCCCTCCCCAAAGCCTTATTCTGGTCTTGCCCTGTTCCCACACAGAACTGCTCCATCCCATATTGGTTTTAGTGTCACTTGGGCACTGGCACCCGGGAGGGCAGAGCAGCCACGAGTTCTTGCTGCTGTGCCTTCTCCTGTGCCACAGCTCCGGGACACAACCCCACCGTCAGGTCTATTGATTCCAACCCAAGGCCACACCAGGAGGGAATCCGCAATCACAGTCCACCACTGGGTACTTTATGCATAGTAGTTTACAGTTTAGCTATTTTATAAATCCCCACAACCAGCTTTCTTTTAAGTCACTCTGTGCATCACACCCAGACACGGGCAACCCCGGTTTAAATCCTGTTTCTCTTTAGAAATTCTGACCAACATGCTTAATTGCTCTGCACTTAGTCAGGTTCTGAGAAAAGATGGACAAGAGCAGGAGAAGAACTACAAAGGAAGCAACCAAGCTTTCTCCTCAAAACGTTTAGAGCTTGTTTCATTTTGAATATTGTATATGCCCCATTGTATGCCCCAATATTTTGTATTGTATATGCCCCATCAGACATAACACACACATGCCCACAACTTCTATAGTAACGCGTCAAATGGTTTTCCCATGACAAGTTGGCTCCTTACCTTGGATGATATGATTCTGTTGTCTGCAAACTTCTGAGGAACATAATGGCCATGCTGGGGAAAACGATTCGCTATATAAATAGTTCTTGTATCGCTTTGATGCGGCGGGTCAAAACCCTAAAACAGAAAATAAATTAAAAAAGGTGATCAAGGAAGATTGTTTTATTAGCTGCAGTTTTGTAAAACTGTCATCTTTGTGCTGAAAAATGATATCCAGGTATCAAGCAGCAGTTTTAGAAGAGCGACTTCTGAACAGGAAACAAAATGAATGTGTAAATTCCAGTCAGAATTTTCAAAAATTGGGGAAAAAAAATTATCTCAACTTTGAGGTTGTGTACTCATTCTGAAAAACGAAAGAGAAAACCGTAAGTCTCTAAAAGGACAGAAAACATGTGCCATCATGCAAACTTGAAGCCTGTGAAACTTAAAAAGAAGGAACAGATAATGGAGAGGAAAAACATCTCTAAATTACAAAACCTCACAGTTGTGCTCAGGATAACTCTAGTCAAACAGGTTATGAGAAAAGTAAAAGAATCATGAGAAAAAACAAAGAATCATACCAGTATGTTGTGACATAAATTATAAAACCTCACAGCTGTGCTCAGGATAACTCTAGTCAAACAGATTATGAGAAAAGTAAAAGGTCAAAACAAAGAATCATACCAGTATGTTGTGACAACTGCATTTTGAAAATATCTCACCCACTTAAAAGCATATGCATCTGACTAGACAACAGTCTCTTTCCAAACAGGTTGTATCTCCAAGATCTAACATTCTGTCTAACCTCACACGTGATTTCCTGCCATTGCCACCCATTCCTACGAGCAGCAGCAACACTGAGAGCAGACTCGTTTAAAAAAAAAAAAAGAAGATACTCAAGAATCTTTATCAACAGTTTCCTGCCAGAACAGAAGCCCTGAGTGAGGTCCCTTGGAACCAAAGTTTCAGGTCTAACAGAATTTTCCCCCACTGCCCCCACGAGGGGAAGGGCACTGGGGCACACGGTCCCAGATGGCACCAGCTCAGGGCTGAACGAACAGCAAATGATGAGAAAAAATTGAAAATCATTTTGATCAACCAGAAACAAGGGAGACTGAAAGATACAGCAGTTGGATACAATGGACTGCATCTACAAAAAGAGAGTAAATGCCTCTATGGGAGTTCTGCAGAAAAAGACCCAACAGCTGTAGCTGATCCCAGTCAGGGGTGTCGTCCCATTAAGGAAAAGGCCTTGGATGCTGAGGAGGAGGAGCAGGAGCCCCAGCTGAAGCCCTGTCGACCAACTGGCCAGCATCCAGGAGATGAGGAGAACATCAGCCACAAGAGATCCTGCAAACGTGACGGAGAACGCAGGGCTGAGCAATCTCAAAAGCAACAAGCAAATTAGGGTCATTCAGCCCCGAGTGGGGGACACTTGGGATACACTGGTGCATCTTCCAATATATCAGAGACTCTTCCTCTGGGAAAAGAGGTATTCTGAAGGATGAAGAACAAAAGAAGGCTTGAGTTGCAGCAAGGAAAACTCAGTTTGGATATTGGAAAAACAAACACAAATTCCTTTCTTATGGAAAATAATAATTAAAAGCCAAAAGAAGTCACATGGAAGGCTGCGATGCCTCCGTAACACCAGGGCTTCTATCTAGGTCATTCAAGTCTATCTTTAATTGAGCCTTTCCCGGGGCTACATGACTCACCAAACCCTTCCTAGCTCTAAAGTTCTGACCTGGAGAAGCAGGTGACGGCAAAAGACAATAAGAAAGATAGTAAAACAGTAATAATTCAGGTAACAGATCAAGAATATTGCTACAATAAAAAACCGAAAAGCTTTAAGACAGGGAACAAAGTAGTGAAATTCAATTAGGAGCTGTGACAGGGAATCAATGATTGCTGGGAGAGGTGAGTTTCAGAGGGAGTGTCAGACATTCCTAACCTTGGAACTGACTTTGTGCCATATGCACGCTTCTCCTTGTCCTTTCACTTGGTACCAAAGAGCAAGTGATGAAAGAGGCAGAAAGGACATGCCCAGTTCTGCCTCCGGAGCCAAGGCTGTGAAACCAGGCTCAGACCTTGATTTGTGTCAAATAAAAAGCGGCACTTCCCAAAACTGCAGCAGAAGACACTTCTGTGCCACTCAGCTCCCAAGGGTTCCAGACAGAGAGCACAATAAGCTACATAAAACACGGCTGGTACAACCAACCAAGAATTTTCTCTAATCACTAAAGTTCTCTAACACGGGGCACTAGGTATGTTCACATCCAGAATGGTGTCATTTAAACGGAAAGGAATAATTAACAAATCCTCTCAAACATACACATTTCTGTATTTGGCATCGCTACTGCAGGAACATTCTGCCTCAGAAAGAAGGAGGTCCAGAAGAAAGGAGATTTTTTCAAAGAGGTTTGAAGGAGAATAAACTTTAGATGACAAGCAGTGGAAGGGCTGCAGGCACAGGCCGGGACACGAGCGTTTGGTTACAGATAAGAGCAGAGAAGGGAAACAAAAGGTAGATAGGGGAAAGGGCTGGAAGAAATCCATAAAGATGCCAAAAAGCAAAAAGAAAGGAACTGTTCAAGACTTTAAGAAAAGAAACATAAGTATGGAAGTAAAATTTAAAAAATGTACCTGTTATACGTTGACACAAAATTTAAAGACAGAACAATGTTTGGAGCGGAAGCATTTTGGATACCTGACATTAGTGACACGTTATTTCTAACTCAATCCAGAAGATGCCACAACAGAAGTGTTTTGCAGGCAAGAAAAAAACCCCTGTGCTTAATTAGCAAGACTAGGTACACAGCTTTTCTACCTCAGAAAATGTCTGGCACTCACAAAATGCCAGACACGCTCCCTCTGGAAAGGCATATTCTACAGCCTGAAAAAATTCCACTCTCAACCAAACAGATGTAAAGCAGGGAAAAAAACCACAGAGAAAGCAAAGAAAGCGACTGGCAGGCTCCGGGTGCTGATAAAAGCTGATCTCCATGCCGCTCGCTGAAAGGTATTAAAAGATAAATGAAGAATTTCAGAGCGACTAGAGTATCACCGATTTTTTTTCCGAAGTATTTTTCGGCCCCTTTTAGGCCACTATCTGAGCACCTGACTGCTGATGAGTTTAATGATGTTTTTATTATGAAGAGTAAAGACTTCCTAACTGCCCGCCAGAGAACACCGGACCCACCTGATTAAAAGGAAATCTATCTTCCAACTGAGAATCTCAGGCCATGTGAGTTTACAGCCGCAGCTGCGCAGCTGAAACAGCTGATAAGTGCCACCTGTACACATTGGACTCTGCTTTGTGGAAATTTCTGAGGGAGAAAGTCCGAAAGCCGCGCCGTCGGCAGCTCCGAGGAGGTGGCACAAGCTGGGCAGGGTGGGACAGGACCTCTCCGGGTGGCAGAGCTGGGGCTGGAAGGGGACACGTTCCTGACAACCTCAGTGGCTTGGCAGCAGTCACAGCAGGAATTAAGTGCCAGAGCTGGGAAGAGAAACCCACATTTCCTAACTTTCACTTCTGTCACTCTGGAAGACCATTTGAAATGACCCAGCAACCCCCACCACCACATAATTAGCTGGTGAGACCACAACCAGGCAGATCATCTGGAGAACTTTTAATTACACATATCTCCAAGGAAAGTTCTGCACAGACGTTGAACTGAATTCTTCAAGAACTGAAATGCTTTTCATTTTTCCATAAATATGGGGCTGGTCACAGCTCCTGCTCCTGACACAAACCTGATCTGTAGTCCCAGTTCCTGCCCAGCAAAGGGACTTTGCATAGTATCTATATGCAAGTCAGCACCGAGGTGTCCGAAGCACACTCTTTCCTAACTCCACTTATTAGACAGCTCTTTCTCTTTCTAATGTCATTATCAAATTCAGCTGCGAAACTAGGGTAACGTGCCCTTGTCAAAGGATTTCTACAGCTAAACAGCATGAGCAGAGAATCCCGGAATGAAATTTTGAATCTTGCCAAAAAATTCAGTTGTCACCAATACCTTTCATCAGAATTTAGTTTACCTGCAGTTACCTAGTGATTTCAGCCTAAGTCCAGAGATCACTGACTTACTAACAAATAAAGCTGAGTTCATTACAAAAACTACTATTTAAGGCTTCATGAATCAACTGCAAGTAAAATAAAATTTGACCACTAGATTAAGTGACAAAAAACCATAATATCTGTTTGACTTCCCCCTTCTTCCCCCATGATGGAAATTAAATCTAGATTTATTGGCTCATGTTCAGCCATTCAGCTGATTTATCAACGTAAGGCAGGCGTTATCTACTTCTGGAACACAGCTCCCATAGCTCATCTTCCATACACACTTCCCCAATAGAAGTTTTGCACCCAGATAAATTTGATGTTTGGTTTTGAAAATAGTCTAAATGAATGTCATTTGCATACAACACACAGACGTTTGGGTCAAGCTGATTTATAAAGCGCAAACCAAAACAACTTTTTGGAAAAAAAGAAAGAAGTGATTTGTAGTTTTCCTTGTTTATAAATTTTTAATGACTGTAACTAAAGTCTAAGTAATTTTTACCAAACCTCTTCAGCAGTGATTTTGTTAGTGTTTTGAAAGTTAGACCAAGTCACCCTCTGGGTAATAACCAGGCTCCTTTAAAGCACCCTAGAAAACATATCCTGGGGAACTGAGGAGAAATTTTTCACTGGGATTTTATGCTGTTTCTTTCATGAAAGAAACATGTATCAGCAGCCACCTCTCCTCCAAATAAGCCTTTCCTACATTCTGCCTCCATCTCCATCACCGTGCTCGGGGAACTGCCCATGCAGCCAGACTGGAAAGTGGACTGGAAAACTGGCCCCCAAAAAAAAGGAAAATTCTGTTTGCTAAAAGAACTTGTGCTGTGTGCTCAGTTTGCAGTGAAAGGGGTTTGAAAGACGGAAGTCTCAATTACAGCCTCTTCCTCCTTTCAAAAACCACACTGAGCACTGCTAGAGAAAGTAGTAGTTCCCCCAAAAGCCCTTTGGGCACCACGTACTAGTTAATAAAACTAATAAAGAGCAGAGAAGTCGGTCTCAGGAAGCCTGTTTCCTGGGGAGGTGACTGGCTGACCCTGGCTGCAGAAACACGCCACCACGTTTCCTGGCAAACAGC